TCAACTGATACTTTATTGTTTTACTAACATTTTGGTTTACAAATGAGAGAGAATTTAATTTGTGATGAACTTTTCATCATCGCTATTTCCATGACTAAGGAGTTTGAATCTGGTGGTGGCGAGGGAATCATGCTGCACAACCTGATGCTTTCTTGTCAAGACATTATCAAATGGTATAATGCTGTTGCATAGAAGTACAACCAGGTTATGGAACGAGTGTTATGCTTCTGATATAGACAAAAAAAAAACAAAAGTAATTCATCATTTATCCAGCGTGGAAATTTTGCAGACGAACAATGCAGTTTGTGTTGAATAAGCATGATTTCACTTGAGCAGGGAAGAGTGGAGTCCCTGTGAGAGAAGCTTGCCCTTTACTGTCAGGTAATGGGAGATTGATCACCTTTCACAACATGTGCAGCCGAGGCAGGTAAAGATTTCAGCTTCCTTAGATAATCAGTAACCTGTAGGGAACAGGCAGCTTTCATCTGCCTGTGATACAGACTCAATAATAAGCATTTAACTATTGCTTATAACTATTGCAACTATTATTAATTACTATTAATTATTATTAAAAAAACAAATGAATGGAAAATATGTAACTGAAATTGAAATCATTATGTTGTACATTAGTATCACCGCAAATTCATTGTTTTAACAAGGATTCAAAATATTACTGTTACAAATGCACATTATTTAAAAGGGGCTATACATAATCAAATATACACAAAGACATAGCATAGTGCATAGTTTTTCAATATTGGAGAAAAACACGCATAGAATAGAATATCTTTAAATTTCAATTTTTAAATTTCACTTTTAATAGAATATTAAAAATATTCCATACATTTTTTTAATTTGATTGTATAAATCAGAAAAAGTAAAATAACATTTTACTTTTTATGACTTTAGTGATGCATACATACAGGACTAAAAGCACTGTTACACCCAGTTCTGAAACATTAAAAGATTAATTCAAGTGTACACAGCACTAACGGCTTAGGATATGGAATGTATTTTTCTCCTCTGGTTTGTTTCGTGAGGTGCACAATTATTCTTTGTGGCATAGTCAATGAACTTTGCGTAGTTAATTTTCCCAGTAATATTTTTATCAAAAACAGACATGAGACGATAAAATTCCTCTTCATCAAGGACAGTGTTGCAAAACTTCAGGACAGATCGAAATTCCGACAGTGAAAGATATCCTGAGCTGTTCCAGTCCAGCTTCTTACAAGCTTGTTGAAGGGACTTCCAGTCTCCACCCAGCTTTAACACACAAACAGGTTCGTTTAACACTCAATGAATTTACTATTAATGTTGTTTTCATGGATGTCATGATCAGCCCCCACACATAATATAAAATCCTACATCATTTTTAAAATCCTACATCATTTTCTGGCATAAAGCTTTAAGGATTCTTACAGATATCCTGAAGTGATTCCTGTGAACAGTAATAATAATATTTGCTTACACTTACTGTATATAGCGCTTTTCTGGATTCTCCACTCAAAGCACTTTACAGGTAATGGGGACTCCCCTCTACCACCACCAATGGCAGCCATAGTGCACCAGAACACTCACCACACATCAGCTATCAGTGGGGAGGAGAACAGAGTGATGAAGCCAATTCATAGATGGGGATTATTAGGAGGCCATGCTTGGTAAGGGCCAATGGGAAATTTGGCCAGGACACCGGGGTTACACCCCTACTCTTTTTCGAGAAGCGCCCAGGGATTTTTAATGACCACAGAGAGTCAGGACCTCAGTTTTACGTCTCATCCGAAGGACAGCGCCTGTTTACAGTATAGTGTCCCCGTCACTATACTGGGGCATTAGGACCCACATGGACCTCAGGGTGAGCACCCCCTACTGGACCCACTAACACCTCTTCTAGCAGCAACCTTAGTTTTTCCCAGGAGGTCTCGCATCCAGGTGCTGACCAGGCTTACACCTGCTTAGCTTCAGTGGGTTGCTAGTTGTGAGTTGCAGAGTGATATGGCTGCTGGCTACAGTGACTGGCTGTACCTTCCTTGTGTGTCATCTGATATAATTCTATAGGATTATTGCTAGAATCCATAAGAATTTTGGAACCACAAACACAAAAATGCTTACCTTTAGCAGGGAAATACTAATTGATTCAGAGACCAGGTGGTGGACATAAACACCTCATAAAATAAACACGTCTGAAGCCATTTTCAACATATGTTCAACATATGTCCAACATGGATAAGCAATAACCATCAGGTGTCACTTAATGCACTTTTGAAAATTGTTCTTAAATGTGAAACTCATAAACAAAAGCTGTATGTAATCTCTTTTCCTAAGCAGTAAGAAAGGAACAAAGTTGGTTCCAAGAAAAATACCTTTTGACGCAGTTGTTGGGTGATGCCACTCAGGCCCTTCAGGGTGATCTCGTTGTACATGGCGGGATTTCCTTCGGACCTTTGTGTTAAAGCTTTGGATTGATCAGTTCTCAATGTCCTTTTTTGTTCTTCAAATGGGTGTAAGAAATCTGCATATGAAATTCTGAAGTAAAGAAAGGCAGACAAACAACAATTAATCTCAAATGTCGCTTTTGGATTCTGTAATTTTATAATAATACACAGCAAAGAGAGGGGATATTTTTAGTTTGAATGCTAAAGTACAGGTAAAAGTACAAATTATTGAAGAGATTTAAGAAAAAGTGAAATTGACAAGAAAGTTAGAGAAAAAAATGTTTTGTTTGCTGTCTTAAGCCTCAACATCCTGTAGAAAATGACATTCCAGTCAAAGCTGTAAATCGTTCTGCAATTTATCATGTTGTACTGTGAATTGTTTGATTATTATTGCTGCAATGCATTTAAACAAAGGAATAAAGGAACCTGTTGTCCCCACAGCTGAATTTCCTTGCAATCGCCTCATGTTGTGAGTCTGTTAACTCCGGACAGAAGTCTGTCAGCACGTCCTGAAACTCCTCTTTAGTCACAGCTCCAGAGGCCACTGGGTCAAGTTCTTGAAACTGCTTCTGAAGGTCATCGAGCTGGATCTGAACCTGCAATAAGAGTGTGTGAAGTCAAAACACCAGAAATCACAGATTGTTTTTACATATAGTGTTTATGGGATGTATTGGAATGAACGGTACTGTACCTTTGCACAAAGGTGGCTCATTGTTATTTCAGTATCTGAGTTGAGTTTTCGGGATCTTAACAGGAAGTCACTGTCCCCTTTAACTGGGGGGGCTCTTTTGGAACTCGGATAGCATGCAGAGGACAGAGAAAAAACAAAGTGGCGGACAAAGTGGTGGAAATCAAGGGTGCCATCTTGATTCATGATTAAAGTCTCCCAGAGCTTCCTGACCTCTTCTCTGGAGATGTGGGGTTGTATGTTAAAACTGAACAAAAATAAAGCTTTCAAATTAAGAAATAATTTCAAAAAGGTGGCGATGACTATAACTTGCATTGCATACTGTAATAGGAGTCCAATTTTTTTGGACTTTCACAACTTTTTTCTTTTCTTGTGGACATTTTTCCAGTGTGACTTTTGAGTAAAAAGGCATTTATTAAACGACATTTAAAATGCAGTATGTATTTTACAGAAAACAGTGTATTCTAGCATAAAAAGGACTTATAACTAAGAAGTCATGGATTCATATCCCAGGTGAGCCACTGCTGTTACTCTCATGAGCTCATGAGAGTTCTCTAGAACAATGGCATATCATATGAATGGGTAACTTGCTGGAATGGGATGGGTTTTTCTCAGTTGATTTCTGTAGCTAAACAAAGGTTTATTTTATATACAGTACATACAGTACAGAACAAAAGAAAGATTTAATCTTTTATCCAAACTCAGAACATAAACAAACATAAAACAAAGTGGCACTTCAATATTGAAAAATAAACAGCTAAGAAGTTAACTATAGTGAGAAGTAATACTCTAATTGCCTTTCTATTAAAACAGTTTAATATAATATACTAAACCTGATACCTTTTCAACAGCTGATACAGAGTTTCTCGAGAGAGTCTTCTGGTGTTCATTTCATCCAGGTTGTTGAAGACTCTTTCAACTTCCTCGACATTATTTTTCACAAGGTCCTTAATAATCTTTGTTAGCTGCCCCAAGAGTGCAATGTACAAAGGTTAATAAAATTTCAAATGCTACATGCAGAAGAATTATATGAGTACATTGGAGAAAGTGCATGAAACCTGGTCTGTGGTTTTCTCTCTCCAGCTTTTCCGAAGCAGATCAGTCTTCGGCTTCCTGCTGATATTGGTTACAACAGTTCTAGCATCATCTAAGAAAATCTCCATATTTCTGTAAATTGCAAAAAGAGTAGATTTTTTTCTCTGCCATATAGCACAGAGCAGTTAATATACAGTACATTGTCGTCATCAACACAGGACAGCTGTTTTGTTAACAAACTAACCCATACTGTGAATAGCAGGGAAGAAAATTTTCAAAACTTCCTCTAGCAATTTATTTGTCCCCCAGTCTGCCCTAACCGCTACCTGCTGTCTTGGTTCTGTCCATTGACAGGTGCTGTGAGAACATACAACCCCCTGCCCCCTGCTGCTGAGGGACTGTGAGACCAAAGTGCCGCTTGAAGGGCAAAGACACCTTGAAGAACAGTACTGTTGTCATGTGATTGACCTAATGCTTTATAACCACCTATTCTCATGAGATCACTCCAGAATGAATACTTATTTCAGTAAATACAGCCAATGTCTCACAGCTTTATACAGTATGATTCTGTGGTTATATAAGAAAATAACAGCACGCTTGAGCATGATTGCCTGATATATAACATCCTGACTTTTTGGACTTTAGAGGTGGAACTAGGGGAGGTGAAGGGATACATACTGTTCTAGTGAATACTGGGAAGGAAGGAAAAGGGCAGGCACGGTGAATGAATGGGACTTCCCAACCAGACTTTATTGTCTAAATTACATTTCAAAGGAGGTCATGTCATATTAAAAAATAACATTTCAATCCTCAGGGCCGATGAAAATGTGCCAGAAGATTTGTAATACATGTTTTTCCACAGCCCCTTCAAAACATCTGCTTTGCCGTATTCCTACTGTAAATGTGATTGTTGTTTTTATTTAAAACTCTTTCTTGTTTCACAGTCTTCTGTTCAACAACCCGTATTCTTACCTTGTACCAAATTTACTCAGAAATTCTGAATATCTTATGTTTCCATGCTTGTCAAGAGGAACTTTCTCCAGCAGGTATTCAAATTCTTCATCTGTCATTTTCATTGAAAATCTGCTTGGACAAGGGAAGGTTATAGTTATAGTAATAGTAATAGTAATAGTAATTATCTCTAGTTCCTTTCATGTCAACTGGATAATATAATTTTTCCATGCCTATAGTAATTATAAAACAGATATTTACTCATTATATAAAAACAAAATTAATAAAAATATATATTACATATTGTAGTACCTTGTCTCAATGGCTGCTCTAAACTGCTGCTGACTCACAGTATCCAGCTTTTCTGTGTCCATTTTTCTAAAGAAAACAGATGATTTAGTGAGACCAAGAAGGATCAGTCTGAAATCTCATACAACTGCTACGGTATGTTGTGATGTCAAGCTGCCAGCTATGACTTACATTAACAAATGTTCTCTACAGATATTGTTGCTCTCAACCATCTCTCCCTTCAGTTAATAGTAAAAAATAGCTTTAAAGATTGTCATATGGTTGGTGGTTAAGCTTTACACTTTTTTAAAAAACAAATATAAAATGTTATCAAAATTATTAATCGGAAAATGTAATCTGTTACACCTCATCATGATAAAACAATAATGATTCAACTTACAAAATGTGCATTAGATAATTTAATGTGGTAACCTTAGTTATACACATGTACATGCCTGTGAAGTACAGTATTCTATAACAAAGACTTACTGAAATTCACTTAGCAGAGAAACAAAATCTGTCTGTAGAATGTTTAAGAGCTTTGCCTCCAAAGCAGAGAGTGTGGAATGATCACCGAGACTCCTTGCTTGGTTAAACCTGCATCAAATACAAAGTTTAACACCAATCACAATTGTAGTTGTGGTGCTGCACTGTACTGCATGAGTATGCATTTTGTTTAATGTATTGTATATTCTGTGCCTCTGTTGAAGTTTTGCAAAAAGAATTTTTGTGTGGGATCATGTGACTGAACTGAATATTTTATTCAAAGCAGTACAAAGGTCATTGCTTAGAATTACCACAGGGCAAAACATGTTTAGATTTTATTTCCTTTTATCTGTTCACACTGTGACAACTATTCAAATTGCTACTTATAATAGCAAATGTCTTTCAGTGTTGTACAATGCAGAACACATGTTTTAGAAACATAACAAGACATACTGTACTGCAACAATAGTTAATTGAATACTTATTGGAAAATATAATCCACTCTTATTTGTATATTATTGGTCCAACTACAATTGAAGCCATCAAAACCATGAGTCTTACTTTTACAGGTGATAGATGTTTCCAATTACTGTATGTGCATAAATGGTATGCCAATTTCTGTTTACAGTTTCTGTGATTGTAAATTCAGTGTTGTAACAGGAGCTTTAAATAATTCCAGGCACTAAAAACAGTGCATACAATTGTTTCAGTGATAGTTCAGGACATATCTTTGTAACTGCTTAATGTAAGGGCACAGCCTCTTAAATTCTTTCTTATGCAAGCATGATATACCTGTACATTAAAATGAATGTCTATCATGTCATAATTTAATGTAGAAAAAAACAGGGCAATGTACTGTTTCTAAAATTAAAAAAAATAAACTGGGAACACAGTTAACTCAGTTAGTCTTGCATTTAAAGGGTAGAACAACTATTGTTTGAAATACACACTGGAATAGGACACAGGAAGATTATCTTGTCTATTGTGCTTACACTATATGCAGTTCTGTAAAAAAGCAAGCAGCAATCACATTTTTCACCATAGTGAACAATGGAAAACACAATTGTTTGGTAGAGAAACAACGCTGAATCTCAAGCTTACAGACAGGATGTTCCTTCAGCTTTGCTCTGGCGCTGAAGGGAGAATTGTGGACATTCACCATCGCTTAATAAATCAACCCTACTGCCAGCTCAACTGACAGTATCCTGATATGGGCAGACATATCTTTTTCAACTCCTAGTATATCTTACAGGTTTCCAATGAACTTAGAGTACAGTATGTGTCCATTAACATATAATGAAAGATAACTCTCACTCCATCACTGCATTTAAACCACTGACCAGATGTTAACCAAGACCAAACAATCTAAAATGTGTTTTTTTTTAAAATAATAATTATTTAAAATTCCACATGTATGAAACGTACAGTTCGGTTAAATCTGTAGAATTATCTTCTGGAGCTGTGCCATTATTAATACAGTAGATGGCAGTAGTATCACATAATTGCAGTATTCACCTTGGTTTATATGGATTGTTGCTCTCCAAATATTGTTAATCAATTTCAACATGCAAGTTAATGAAAATATTTAATTAGTATCTATTTATTTTAAAGAGTAAACTTTGAATTGTAGAACCTAACTGAAATCAAAGACTTGCACAATGCTGTGCTGTACTGCACACATTCTTTAAAAAAAGAGTATGTCAGTTTGAAAAAAAAAAGCATATACTGTACAGTGTATTCACTAGATGATCATTAAAATGTTCACTACAGGCAAATTACTTTGTTGATATTCAAACTTCTCTTAATCCCAGAGTGTTAGTTGGTGGAGCTCCAGAGAATTTCTCCTGATTCCATTTACAACAGATAAATGCATAAGAATCAGGATTTCAAGATTTAAAGATTTATGGTTCCCAGTCAGAATTACTGTATGTGCTAATTTATCGGTTTAGGTCCTGTTTATGCCATGGCAAAGTAACAACCTATTCCAGATTCTAATCTGATCATAGATGACCATAGATTCTATTCTTTTATTTTTATCTGGCTGCAAGCCTCATGATTGAGTTCAATTACTTATGCCCTGAATTGATCAAAACAATCACTCTTTGTCATGACCACCAGCCAGCAGAGATCAACACGTAAGCGAGCTAATCAGCACCAGCAGCGGATTACTATTAACAAGCGTCGCCGCACGAGTTAACACACCTGCAATTGCTCTACTGTGCTGCACGCCGGGTTATTTATACCATTCTTACCTGATTCCCGTTGCTCGGTATTGAGTTCACTACTTGTTGCTCTGCCTAGCGTTCTTACCCCCTTTTGCCTGCCTGGAATTCTGCCTACACCTTTTGCCTTCGGACTTCAGATCTCGTCTCGCCCCTTGGATTGTTTGCTATCTTTGCCTGTTTTGGATTTGACCCTGCAGCCCTCTTTTCGACCACGATTCTGTCTCACATTTTGGATTGTTCGCACCAGGTGCCTTTACCGGATCTCGACCTACCTTTGCCTTCGGACTACGACTCAGCTCCTGGATTTGCTCAGTATGCTTACTTACCTCCCTGCGACTCCTGCATCTGCATCGGATCCTTTTCACCTCTACAGAGCAGCGTTACACTCTTCCTATGTAATTTTAATAATCTTTTACGTTTTGTAGGGCTCTAGCACCTGAGAATGAGATTTGTGAAGCCTGGGCCTCACCTGTGACTGGGATGCACAAGGACCCTGTGCATCATTCCTTTCTCGCTTCTATCCTGGTAGCGCAGCAGAAAGGCTCTGTAGTCAACATCAGGGGACATATCATCCAGCCCACAGCGTGCTAGGAAGAGACTGAGCTGCTCCTTTTTCAGTGGGAGTTGGAACCTTCTCAAAACCTGTAAAAAGTCTTCTCTGGACACCTGCTCAAACAAATGTGTAAATGCGGTAGATATTTGAGAGTATTCTTGATTCATGCCTTCCCAGTATTTAAAGGAGGAATTAGCATTGATGAAAAATTCAAAGATCATCAATGAAACCTTAGTCAAATCAGAATCAGATGGATACAAGGAGAATACTTGGCCTGTTCTTATACTGTAGGTACAGTATAAAGGTGATATACAGTAGGCAGATAAGGAAATGTGAAGACAATTAATCACATTATTGTTATGTAAGAGAGAAAGATACAGTATACAGTAGACAGTTTTTCATCTGACGTTTCTGGATCAAAAGTGCCACATTAAACAGAAGTGCATTACAGACACACACTAGTGGTTTTAAAACCTGGAGATGCAACAAGCTGAAATCCTATAAGTCGAACAAGAAACCAGTCTTTTCACAGATTTGAAAGACAAAAGCAATGGAAACACAATGACAGAAAGGACTAAAAATCTTCAGATCATGAGGCTACTTCTGTAAAAGGTGAACTAGGAGGCAAGAGCAGTCTTACTTTGCCTGAGGTCTTCAGATCAAAGCGCTGAAACTCCACCATCATGTCCTTGAATCCCTCAGTGAGTTTTTCCTTAAGCCACTTCTCCACATTCAGTGAAAGATTCCTCTCCTGCAGGGACTTTGAAGATCTTTTTTCTGAAGCCTCTGCATTATAAAATTTTAAATCTGAAGAGCTTTGATGCTCTTGATTTTAAACCCAATGTTTCACATTCTGCTGTTGTCCATACTTTTGCTCTCTGTTTCTTTGGTGTAAAGCCCTTACATCACTGATAAGAACTTGGCTCAAAGATATTTTATGCTTTTCTTCATAAACCATAAGAATAGACTTACATCTTCTACAGCTAAGTTTATAATACAAAATAGATGTACCTACAGCTTCTACATGTACAGTATATAATAATAACATACACAGTATATATACAGTACATGTATATAATGTATTTAATAATCAAAAGTGATGATACAAATGTGTCCAAGACATTTACTTTATGGCATGATATATCCATTATACACTTATGTAAGCTATATGTACTCAACATCAAATTCAAGTACATTTGGGTTACTCTATAGCACATAAACCAGGTATAAGTCAGTGTTATCAAATCATTAAAGGAAGAGTGAAATTAATATTTTTTCAACTGCAATCTCATTTAGTTTTTATTAGAATCATGTAAAATTTAAAATGGGGAAGAATTGCAGAAGAACACACTACAGGAAACCCAGGGTTCAGATTTGTCTGTGTGCTGACTGTTAATCTAGAAGGGTTGAATTATCAAACAAAGAAGCTTCACTGTTATGTGAGCTCCAGACTTCATGGTGTGTGGGTAACAGGTAAACCAAGCTCCTGAATTGCACGGCGTTGCAGCTGTCAGCACATGTGTTGCCGATTTGCACTATGAAGCATTTAGACGCTTACAATTCTGAGACCATCACATTCTTGTCTGTTTGGCATGTTGAAGTAAGCTCTCTGAGATCAGAACTTCAGTTTTGACAATAGATTCCACATGCAGGAACGGGCCAGAAAGTAACCCAAATGAAGGATATTCATGCCCCTGTAATATGGTAGCAGAAGTACTGCACTGTATGTGGATATACTGTACAAGGGGAATGTGCTGAAAGAACCTCCCTACTGTGGAGCCTCTCTGGTGGTCCATTAGATAAGTTACACATTTACTTTAGCCTTACCCTAATATTTCACATTTTGAGTGTGAAATTTGCCACAAGCAAACTAAGGAAAGTAATCTTGAGAACAAACCTTTCAGATTGTGCCTCTCTCCAAGCAGCCCATAAATAATATCTATACTAAGGCCAACTCTGGTCTGAGCGCACCATTCACTAAAATAAATTCAGTGCAGTAACTGTAATTGACAATACACAAGTAAACTGTGTTAATATTTAATGCACATTTTCTTCTGCTGTTAAAGATAAAAAAACCCTGATGTGGCATTAGATATCCACTAAATGCTTACTCTTAATTGATTGCTTCTATGTGCCTGTGGGATTCCAGAGTAATGAATTTCTTACTTGGCTTGCCCTGGGGCAGAGGTGTGGTGGATACTCTGTTAAGGACTGCCAGAAGACTTTGCCTTCGTTCCTCGGCAGGGCTTGGAGCTTCAAACCCTAATATCCTCATCAGGTTCTCGACATTAACAGCAAGCTTTCCTTCTCTGTCATACCTTGATGGAGCAGTATTTGTGTAGTTAGGAGAAAATGCTGAGCAATAAAGATGGTGTGAAGAATAGTTGAATCTAGTTTTCTTATAAAGTGATGAAACTTTAAACCCCACACCGTAGATACATATTTCATTAGTTCAGTCTGATGAAGCTACAGTGTGAAGTATCATTTTTGTGGTCTAAGTAATTATCACATCAATACAATGATTCATTATATTCTGACATAAATGGGTAAGATGCTATTGCCAGTGAATATACACCCACTTTTCCCGCTACAATTTAGTGTAAGATTTAAGAGAAAGAAAACAATACTGCCTTGTGGATTTCTGACTTCGGTTTCTAACAGCATATTTCTCACACTTTGATTTTCCATTTATTTTGGGAAGCACTTATTATTTATTCCATTTATTTTGGGAAGCATTGTAGGTAAACAATCAAATGCATATTTATTTTGTTAAAGCTGGCCTTTCCAAGCCAGTTCAGTGAAAGATTGAAAGAAGAAATTGCATCAGAAATGTAGTCATTTGAAGTCACGTTGCTACCTTTTCCAGAGTCTCTCAAACTCCTTATTGTTTGTTACTATTCCCAGCTGACACAGAACTCTCCTCATGTCTGATGGGTGCAATAGAGCCTCCTCCTTCTGATCAAATAGACTGCGAATTTCTAAGGGCCTGAGGTGAGAGAGTAACAGATTGCTATCATTGACTCTCAGAGGCTATTTTGTCCAGTGAGTTCAATGCTGGAACTGCAGTGCAATCACTGTTTGATATCCTACAGTACAAATTATTAAAGACTGTTTAATAAGATCATAACAATAAAGGACTAGATCTATGCAATAGTTATATAATATGAAGATAAATTAAATTCATATGCTATATAAAAAGTGAGAAAATAGTAATGCATTGGTGATTGGCAGTTTTAAAAATAAAATGGTAATGCTCTTCCTGTTGCGTAAGGAATATACTGTAAAGTAATTTAGGATAATTTAGAAGCATGTTTTTAGGATGATTTAAAAGCTAGCATAGATAATGGTTATGAGTCGTCCCCCCCCCCCCCTAGACTGCAGGATCCATTGCTAATATTCATCATTATTCGGAATTCAGTATCAGTAGCTTGTCAGTGAAGAGATCTCAGTTTTTGTACAGTTGCAGAGATTGTTTTTATGGACGAAGCTTTAGGCTAAAGCACTGGTATTTAATTAACAATATTCAAGCAACAAACAAAAAATGGTGGTTTCAATAACTTTTTTGCACAAAGACATAACATTTTGCAATGTTTTTGAACCCTATAAGACCAAAGAACAGGTCAAACTGTTATATTAACTCAGTTAAAAACAGCGTGACTTTCCCCTTAAGCAACACACATTTGGTTGTAAAAGCTTTTTGGTACAGTACATTGGCTAAACTTCTGTTTCGAAACACAGTGTGCTCTTAACTGTTTGTTCAAATGTTTGCATGGCACAAAAAGGGACACCAGCAAAATGGGTTCTGAGGCTTTGTACCCTAACTAAATGCCATTGCTCTAGTCTTGGCCAATCTGGACAGATTAGTTATTCAAGCTGAGAAGTGGGCTGATAAACAGGCAACTCACAGTACATTGAGTAAGTGACCTGGCTCTTATTCAAAGAGGTTATCAGAATGTTTAATGTTCATTAGACTTTACTCCCACTATGCATTAATATAAATTAGACTGTAGTCTTGATTTGGCACTGATCGTGTAATGGAGTGCATATTTCCCCAAGTTATGTGAAGTCCAAGATTTCCCGTTTTATTAGATTGCTTTAATTTGTAATGTATTTATTTTCACTTTGGCATTTATCAAACACATTTTTAGTTAATGTGCACAGTAAGCACAAATATATGTATTAGAGTATTTTGTTATTCAGTTAAGCACATGTTGGTTGCACAGGTAAGCAGGCTTGTAAGTACTGTAGGCAGGTATAAATACTGTATATTAAGAACAGAGGCATAACTGTATAACTGAACATAAGGCATATAAAGATGTTGTTAAGGGATTAGTACCAGAACATGTCTAAGTGCTTTGGCCAAACTTTTTTCTAGCCAATAAAGCCAATCCAACTTCCACAAAAATGAACCATCAAAAGATGCTGTGAGACAAAGTGCTCCATAGAGACTCTAGAGTGAGTTGTACATGAACAAATTGCTGCTGGTGTCACTTATCATAGGAGCTCAGTTTCACATCTCACCCCAAGGCTGAAACACTTACTCAGCAAACCTTTGAAGCTAAGCTAAGTTGTGAGCTAGGTGCTGTACCTCCTAACAAACAAATCATGAATTTGTTTTCCTTGATTAGTGACTCTCATAACCTCTTTGTTTGTAAAATCTAGTACAGCTGCTGAACTGATAACTGAGATTATAAAAGTATGCAGTCTTAAACCAAGCATATAACACTTAATGGCCAAAATGGCAGTAACCTCCATAGGCTAGCATGTTAGGTATGTCACAGCAGCAACTAGTGTACAATTAAGAACAGGATATACTGTAATATGTATTCAACAAGACTGAAAAATCTGCCCCTTCAAACAGGATTGCCTTCAGCTCAGGTTAAAGTAAAGTAGAAGATTGGAATTGACCTTCAGGCACCACTGGTTCAACCAGTTTTCAAAGGAATGAGCTCTGGGGATTGTTGCGCTCAGAGAACAGGATGAAAGTCCGTCTCACACAGGCTGCCTGCCACTATCTGCTTATTTGCCTGCTGGTCCTAAACATTTCCAATTTAATTAAATTTTAATCTGCAGTTTATGACATACTGTATTATACCCTATAAAATAACATGATACTGCTATAAAAACCGTATCCCTTTCATGCTCCTTTATGGATGGCGTGACAGTACAGTGGTCAGTGCTGCTGCCTCACAGCTCTTGGGGCAGGGGTTTTGGTTCCATGATGAGGTGCCTTTTGGATGCAGAATTCACCCTTTTTCATGTGGGTTTTGTCCTGGCAGTCTGATTTCTTCCCTCTTCTACAGACATGCTGGCTAGGTTTTATCAGCCATTTTAAATTCTCCTTCTCTGTGAATTTGAGATTTGAGAGTCTTGTGTTTCTAGGCTGCAACACCTCACCAGGACAACTATATTGATAACGGACAGAAGGATGATCAAATTTCCTTTGAAAGACAAAACATTTATCTCTCCTTTAACCCTTGCATCTACTGTTAATGATGTAAAACTGGGATAGACCAGATGATCTGTATTTAAAATAAACACACCCCTACCGGAAATATCATGATCGCACCAACCTCAAAGTGTAGGAAACTGCAGCTGCTGCTGTGTATGTAACAATGAAAGGCTGTCCAGTATTGTTGTCAAGTCAAATCAATCTTACGGGAGAGTTGAAAAGCCAAAGTAAAAGTCATTTTGTTTCATTTCAAACTCTATACCTGAAAAAACTCAACTATTCACCTTTACCTTTGAAGGTCAGTGATCAGCATTATGCTGCCTCCCTGCCTGTATCATCATTTAAAAGCCGGAGGATTTAATATGAGTATTCATATTAAAAGAAAGCACCCAATTCCAGCAGATGAGTTTTGTTTGCATAGCTGGAGTTTCTCATCACCTTATATTCATTTTTATTTTTCACACCATAGAAATAGCTTAAAATATACTTTCATGCTGTGGGAAATAACTGAAATTCAGTTCTGTTTTACAAACAATGCATGCATTACAATACCTTTCTCTCAATAATTTCTTTAGGGCCAAATGAGCCTGAGTTGCAGTTTTCTTTGTATCGTCTTGTTTTCTTTTAATAGGATCCTTCCAATCTGCTTTGCTGTCATTGTCCCACTTTCCCAAACTGCGACAAAACGTTTCAACAGAGATGGTGATTTTGTCTGTCAAGTTTAATCTGAAATAAAAAGAAAAAACACATCACATACAACATGCCTAAAAACGTACTGGTGTGCACCACATGTCTGTATTTTTTTTCCTGATACTTGAGTGCCAAATTCATCCTGGTTTCTTGATGTTTAAGACCCCAAAATGCAAAAAAAAAACTTCAATTTCAATTGATTTCAAGTAATGTGTATATTAGTTGTACAATTAATGTAGTATAACAATAATTCCTCACATTCACAGTATGTAGCGCTTTTCTGGAAACTCCACTCAAAGTGCTTTACCAATGTGTAACACCCACCTGGATGCAACAGTAGACATAGTACACCAGTACGCTCACCACACATCAGCTATCAGTGGAGAGGATAACAGATTAATGAAGCCAATTCATAGATAATAAGCAGTATATTCCTTTCATTTTGCATGACCTCACCTGGATAAAAGAGAGGAAAATTCTTTTCCACTGATAAATCTTCCCAAATATTTTGTGACGATGATGAGAAGAGCATCCCTGTAATGCATAGATTGACATCCAGTAGCATTCCAAATGTAAATTCAACAATTCAAATTTCATTTTGGATAAATTAAAATGCATACAGACATAGATTTTGAATACTTTAAAAGACATAACTTCAGGTCACATTCTGCATTTGAAAACATTCACAATGTGCAAGACTAAGTACACATATAGAGATAACAATAAAAAATGAGGTACCTGGATACATTTCCTCTGCCTGTTGGATCATTGGAAAGGAACAGTCTTTTCAAAGAATAAAAGTTACCCGATTTAATCTTCTCACAAAGAAGGAGTTCAAGCTTTAGAGAAAAGCACAATAAATGAATTATCCGTTTAAAGCAAATTCAAAAGGTATTCACTTAATTAAGCAATTTGGTGGCTTTATGCTCCTTGTCAATTAAAAAACAATCATTAATCTGATAAGAAAAAGAAAAACACAAGAGCATTAGAATGATTTCAAATGAAATGTAGCATTTCAAGCCCCGATCTCGTTTTTTTAACACTGTTAAATTGCTACTCACAAAAAATCAGATCTCATACATGGAAATGGAAAAATCCTAATCAGATCAGCTGCATTGTGTTAAAAATGCTTTAGTCAAGGGTGATCTCTTACAAATGAAGGAATAAAGGATGATTATTATCATTTGGCAATGATAAAAAAAATGAAAATGAAAAAAAAAGATCTAATAACCCAAACCCTGTAGTTACAATAATATTGTCTTCCTGTTTGAGATTATTGATTGATCAGAAGACATATTCTCAGCCTGAATGACTCTACTGTACTGTCTGTTGCACTGTCTGTTGAAAGAAGGACAATTATTCACATACCTACAACTGTACACCAAATACCAGGATCATGTAAAATATGCCATGAACAGAAACCAAGCACTGAAAGGCAGGAATTAACAGAACATGCTGTTGTGCAACATGAAACAGAATGAACAATGGATTGCTTCACACCCTTGTCTTGTCCTTACCTCATCAGTCCGAAGCTGAATCTGGGTTCCAGGCCGAAAAGAGGTTTGTCTTTCATCTTCAGACATATATGCGTGATCCGGCATTTTTCTGTCGCCTAAGCATAACAGATTTTCTTCAGAATTCAAGTGCTAGCTCTCAGCACTGGGACAGGGACAGGGACACAGGGACAGCACTGAAACAAACTACTTCACATACTGTATCTGTATAGTTTGTTGTTAGTCACCCACATCTACCACAAAACCAAAATGTAAAAAGAACAGAAAAATTAATTCACAGGATAGACATCAACACTGGAAGACAGCCTGCTTAGGCTGTGTATCATGGACATAGACATGGCTGTGTATCAGTGCCTTTGACATCTGCCTTAAAATCATCACTATACTGTAGCTCTTTTGATTGAACTGACAGTACACACATGTCATTGACAGGAAGATGGGCCATCCCAGTTTATACTGATACAGCATTTCAGGTTAACCACCTATGCTGAGGGTCATGCACTGTTCATGGACTGTGCAATATCTTGATCAATGACATAAGAATGGTGTCCAAATTGCATCTAAACAACCACTCTGTTGTTGTGACCCCACTACCCCATGTGCCTTGCCTAATTGTGAAGAAGCAACATTGAGAGATAATGTCAAATTATTCTAGATGTCATACTATGACAGATAGTTAACAGTCTTTTTACACCCAATGCCCCCCAAAAGGGTCTTGTTCATCTTGTTTTTAGAAACTAAAAAATCCCTGCAACACATATTTTAAAATTCATACAAGAAGTCAGAAAAGATAAGGATCCTGCTCTCATCTGATAGGATGGTTGTCTTCTGGCGAAGCTTTCACAGGTTTTAAACTAAACTTGTGCAATTGAAAATAGTAAAAAAAACAGTTATGCTATCTACAGTATGGTGAAACAAGACTACAAAATATGAAAAACCCACCCAAGTTTATCCAATAGTCCACCTTTTTCCAGGTGTCCAGTTTGTTAAATTTATGCCTTTTCACTGTTTCTTCCAATGAGGGGTGAAACCGTCCTTCTCTGGGTGACGATTTGTCAGCTTCCCCACGACAGCTTCTCTGAGGATGGTCCCAGGAGGCAGACTTCACATTCCTCCCAGCCCGAGTGGAGATTCCATCCACAGAGAAAGAGCTGGGGTCCCCGAGTCTTGCCAGGGGATGTGGTATGTCAGGAAGTTTGGACGGGATCCCCGCGTGGGAATTTGGTCTTTTCATGATCGCCACAGCCATCTTGCCTCTGCGTTTATGCAGAAAAAAAAACAAAGAAAGCAAGCGTGAAAGACAGAAAAATAGTTCAGTTAGATCTCTTTTTGGCTCTGACAACATCAACAACTTTTGGTTGCTAATAGTAACCAATCCTTTTCCCTTTCACCAGAAGACAAAGGCACTGCAGGGGATCAGGGAGGCTATAGAACAAGTGTACTGTATATCATGTGTATTATTGCACATGAGCGTGGTGTTTATTGTGATTGAAGTGAACTTATCATTTGCCTGTACCCATTTGACAATTTTTATGATATTATTGTTAATAATAAATCACAATTGCTAATAGAGTATTACACACTAATTGGTGCTGAGCTACTGTATATCAATTGACAAAGCTTTCTTCAGGACAAATGCATACAGATAAGAGTGACAAAGAATAGCAGGGCAATACCAACAACACAATGTCAGAATGTACAGTATAAACTATCGATATGCAAAAATCTGCATTTTAAGCCAGCTCCTACAGGCCGAGGTTTTCAAAATTAAATATACATACTGTACAAAACTTACACAGTTGGAAAACAAACCTCACGGATAGAATATAGATCTTGGGAATTAATAAACTTCGAATCAGCCACTATTGTTATTGTTTTCATTAACCGTGTCAATCATTTTTTAATACAACCTAGCGCAGAAGAGATATTGAGGTACACTGAATAAATGCTGGAACACAAGTTTAACCAGATGAACACGTAAGGTGAAACAGCGCCACTTATTTGCCTCTCACAAATCGAGGAAGTACAAGCCGCATGTGCGGACGTTAAAGAGAGCTGGGCTTTCTTCTGCAGCTGGGAGCTGCAGTGTGAGCATGTCGGTGTGTTCACTTTAAGCTTCTTCAAGGACGGAAACGACAGGAACGGGGGGCATCTTTAGTTAAACACACCAGAGATGGTACAAAGAGAGCTTGTTTATAAGGTAAGAGCTGAAACTGCCATCTACTCCGTTGGTCGCAGAGATCGGGAACTTGTATCAGTACAGTTATAGTGTCAAAACGAGTTGGTAAAATACAGTAGGGCTTAAGGGCCTTATTCTTGTCTTCAGCATGCTTCAGCTGCAGCCGGTATTCGCATCACAGTGCTGTTACTGTATACGGTAGGTTATAGTGACGAAAGGTTGTGGACTGTTGGTAAGTCGTGTCAATCTGTTTACGTGGTATTTTCATTATTATATTGTTTTGAGGATATGAACTTAAACCTACTAGGCTGAAAAATGTTAGCGTATTAAGTGGAAACTGGCGTAATGTAGTAACCTTACAGATCAGTGCAGTACCGTTGATCACCGCAAAGCGAAACGACTGGTTTACACGCAAAAGAAAAACTTCAGGATTCTGCTCAATAAACCTCGTAAAGAATCGAGGGTGTCGACAGCTGATGTTGCATGTACTGTAGTGCGGTCCAAACAACGTGGGTGATACGCTTTGAGAAGAACCACAATTTAACATAGAACGGAGTTTTATTTTTCCATCAGGCAAAGTAGTTTAAACGCATGCTCAAGTTCATTATGAAGTTTCAGCGGCTTGAAATAGACGCTGTTATACAAAAACGTGTTAAAGACATTGACAGCTGAGCAACTTCAAGTTTTTCCGTATATTTTTATTTTGTTAGTTTTCCACAGCTGGATACCGTGTTCCTAGGCTCTTAAATAGTTAAAACTACTATTCTGGGGAAAGTAACTTTCACAAATTTAGCCATGTATTCTTATTACAGTTGTACGTTAAATATAAATGAAGATCTGCCAAGTCTAAATTTAAATTAGTAATCTACCAGGTGTGAAAATAGAAGGGGATATTTACTCCGTGCTGGCAGGATAAAACAAAGTTTTATGTTGAGCGTTTTTAGAGGTATCTTGACATTGCAGGAAACTGATCTATCATACAGTACAGCTACGCCTGCCGACGAACAGTACCTGGGATGAGGGTGTATTAATCATGACAAAGTTACAGTTTTTGTTAGCGTCTGGTAATGGGGGAACTGCTTGTCTATCTGTCTTTGCTTCTGGATGTATCATTACCCCCCCTTAAATTTAAAGATCTTGTCAGATAGATTATACTTGGTTTGTTAAGCTATATTTACATGTCAGTAAACATTTAACTTCTTCTTATTGTTATTATTATTGTTAATAATAATTCACTCAAGACCCCTCCAATTATTATATTTTACTTTTAATAGTTTTTGTTTCTGAAAACAATCCTACAAGCCTTGTGCAAGATATTTTTTGTCTCTGAAGTCCTTTATAAAAACCTTGTTATGCACCTAGGATCTTATGCATACTTTACATACAGTAGAATGAAAAAAGTCGCAGGCTGTTAAGTACACTTTTGTATTTTAAAAGTTTGTTTGACCGTATAACCAAACGATATTTAATAGTTGAATCAGGTTATTTTGTCATAATTGTCAAATGGTTATTTTTCTGTTTAGTAAATCTATTGTGTCTTAATTAAACTACATGACACAGTGAAATTTTATGTACCTACATTTTACAATATTGTTGTTAAAACAACTACAATCGGCTGCTCGAAATATGAAGCCTAAAATTGAATACACAAACATTTTAAGATTCTGTGGTTTCTTATCATTGAAGATAATCATTTCTGCTTATTCTTTGCGTAAACATGTTGTGTATTGTATTTTGAAACTGTATGTGTCCCATTAGTTCTCATACCAATAATAGTACAAATTAATCAAAATAAGAAATTATTAAAGATTCTGTTTTTTGTTATGCTATTTTTTTCAGTGATTAATATTAGATGTACAGCAGTAGTTTTGGAAAGCATGACTCATTAGCTCTATGACAATGCTACAGGTATATCTTTTTCTTAAGGCAGTTGCTAAACTACGGAAGCGCATTGCTGCCACTAAGGGAAAAAAATTGCTCCCTTATCTCGTAATTATGAGATAACGAATTTTCTTGTAATTACGAGATAGCAATGCTTACGTCAGTGTATGTACAACCTGTTACGTTGTGCACTGAACACATGTAGAAGTATGGTGAACTTGGCTGGCGCTTTCAGTTTAATGATTGTGTCCAGCGCTGCAGAATTTGTACAGATTGCAATTTTTATGAATGATGAAAAGTTTCACCAAAATATGTTTTGCTGTAGGTTTAACATTAATATTGGCATCTCCCTGCGTTGGACTAGTGTCCCATCCAGGGTGTGTTCTGTCTTTCACCCAATGACTGCTGGGATAGACTTCAGGCCACTGTGACCCTGAATCGGATAAATGGTTATTGAAAACAATGACGATGATGTTGACGATGTCTCTAAATTGATACTCATGTTTTAGAATAATTGAAATGATATAGATGAAAGGAATTTTCACATGTTTTAGTGCAGTAACTGTAACCTAATGAGGGCAAACACTTTCTCCTTTTCTGTGCGAAACTGTGTGAGAATAATTAAAAATTGATCCTGCTACCTGCAGTGAAAAGTAGTACAGACCCTGTGGCTCTGCCGTGTTTAAAAAAATATGCATCTTCGAAAATAAAAGGCAGACCATTCAGCTTGTTTATGTACAATACAGCCCTATTAAGACAGGATTAAATCAGGTATATTTATCAGCCTCAGCATACTATCATGCTTGTACCTTACTTTTACTTTTTTTTGTCAGCAGATAAGCCATTTTCAATGTATCGCACGGTCAGATTTACTTTTGCTTCTCTAGGACTTAAAGTGGTGCTGATTCAGGCTATTTTCTTCTGCAGTATTTGTTTGTCCACAATTCCCAGGGTCTTTTCCTTTTGTTTCTGATTAGCGTTTCATCTAAATCTTATAACAGAAGCCCATTATTTATTGTGTTAAGTTAACCTAATTTCTAGTATTTTACATGCCTACTCTAAAATCTCAACTCTGAGTCTTTGTAAAGGATATTAATCCTGACTGTATTGTAAATTTCAACATAAATGTTATTTTTTAGCATTTTTCAGGTTAACTTTGTTTAGGATTTTCAAGACAATCGTCTCGTGTGGCCTTGTAATGTGCACCGCAGTACTTTTGGTTCAGTGTTTGTTTCACCTTGGAGTCTTGCACAGTTTTTTTTGTTTGCCTTCTGTTTCTATAGCTGAAAAACAAACAATAGAAAATGCTATCTTTACTTGTAGTTTCTGCACAGTTTGTTTATTTGCATACGGCTCTTCTTTTTCCTTTGCAACGTGAATTATTATCACAACAGTTCAGTTGTTGAAATAATATAAATCGTAGTCCTGCGTTTGGATTGTGTACTGAATGCTTTCCGGGCTCAGCTTAAGCTGGACAAACAAGACCTGATATGGTATATAGCTTCCCATAACATAATGCATCATGTAATAGTTTTAAATGCGATTTGGCAGTAGGGTGCTTACAGGAGAAAGTGTAAGCGGTGCATGCAAATGCCAAAAGTTTTTTTTTTCAAAACAATTATTAACTATATTTAAATAATAGGAAAATGAGACTATTCAGTTTTGATTCCTTGGACTCTCTTCCCATTTTTTTAAATTGCCCCCCTCCCCTCACATACCGTCTTACAACTGGAGGGTACTCCCTATTTTGTTCTTCGCTGTTGCTTGGTTACTGTGTTTGCTAAGTGGGTCCTATGATAAAGCAAGTGAAACATGCTTGGAATGACCAGTTTTAGACCTCTGCTTAATGTTTTGTGACTCTTTGTCTTGAAGTATTTCACTTGTAACGTGTACAGAATCCGATTGCTTATGCCACTGTTCCTGCAGACACTTTATCCAAAGTATTTATCTTGAAATACTTTTCATCCCAGTGTTTGAATTGCAATCTGTATGATGAGATAGAGTAGCCCTGGCCATTCAGTTCAGTAGACTGTGTTCTACATCCTGCAAGGTCTTATTAATATGTCACAAACACCAGGCAGGAGCTACTAGATTGCAGTTTGAGGTCAGTTGAGTCTGAGCTGCAGGGCTTGAAGTGTTTTTGTTACCACATTCCTTTTAAAACCTTTTTAACATTTTGTTTTTAGAATTTCTCCTTTTAAAATGTCTAATGCTGACATATATAAAGTGAATGCAGCTTTTTAAAAACGTTCATTGGCCGACGAGATTGAAATCTGACAGGTTTCCAACTTGATTTTGTGTTTTGTGTTGAAGCAATCTAAACATTTGAAGTGTGAAAGATGTTTGCATTATGTTTACCTGGAGAACTTAAATTAAGTAAAAAATATTGCACTGGTTTCAAGTGAATCCATTGTATTCAAAATGTGTTTTGTCACATGCCATGAACAAGGAATTGAACCAATAGATTGTACATTAACTCCCAATTAGCAAAAAAGTGTAATAAAACTTTATTTTGAAACATATCAAAGTGTCTATCAAAAGATTATTAAAGATCTTGAAACTGTCTTATGTACTTCTTTTCTCAAAAGTTGTCTGTCAGTTTTCTATTTTTGCTCTTCTCAGATATGTAGAAGCTTACAAAAGTTATTAAACAAGCTAAACTGCCTAAATGATATTTTGTGCTATACTGCATGCTACAGTAGGTCTAATTATAGTACTTGATACATGTGTTGAAAAACATTTCCAATGTAATAGAAAGTGTAGATTTACAGTAGCTCTGTTTGTTGTGGTACTTACAGGTCTGGTTGAGGATTTTTCTGGAGAGACAACCTGCACTATGAAATGTCTGTATCTTAGCAGGGAGTGTACAGTAGTGAGGATATTAATAAATTAATAAACACAGTATTTTCATCCAAGGTTTGAATATGCAGAGCTTGTCTGAAAAAATATATCCCCTGAGCAGAACCATGTTTGTGTGTGTTTTGTGTCTTTTTATTCCTCGGTTTTCCTACATTGTGCTCTAAGTACTAAAAGTATCCATAAAGATGCTTTGTATAGAATGCTGAATTCATCCCACTTTTCAAGAACATTGTGGTAAGCTTAATCAGTATTTCTGAGTTTGTTTGTGTACATACCTTGTGATGGGCTGCCATACTGACCAGGATATAAGGTTGATTTGCATATTCCCATTTTTTTAGTCGCGCTGTGCTCTAGCCATAGTAAAAGAACACCGTCTGGGCCTGGAGAAATTGATGTGTCGGTACACAGTAAATATTCCTTCTGACAACAGAGCCAAGGATGTTGATCAAACCTTAAAGTGAGACGGCAGCACAGACAAGACTACAGCTTGCTGAGTTGTACCCAGCACCCACATACTGTATAGTGTGTCACTATTTGTGAGCTGGACACCTGGGGAAATGGTTTTAAAAATCGAATTCAGTGTAATGTGGACTGAGGCCAGAAGACCTAGACTGGGGGTTGTATTACCTAATAGGAGAGACAGACCAAATAGCAAAAAAAGTCAGGGAATTAGTGTTGTGTAGTAATGCGGTTGGCAGGAAAGTATAGATGGGACAATTCTCCTAATTGTTTTTACCGACTGCTGAGATACAGGTAGCTTGAACTTGCTGTTAGTGATTACAACTCTGCGCCTGCAGGTACTGTAGGTATAGTGCAATATGCAGGATAGTATTTCTCTTCATTCTGGAAGTGTGTTGAACGTGCATGTATAGTGCCTATAGAAAGTGGATTTCCAAAGTGGAAATTAGTATTGTGTACTATTGTGTACTAAGAGCCTGAAATCTAGATTAAATTGGAAGTTATTTACACAACAACTTCCAAGTAAAACACATTCAACACTCAAACATTCTGAAAAGTAATTGTAAATGAAAGCCTAGAAAAAATGGATTGGATAAGAATACACACCCCTTTGCAATAGCAAATGTAAATTAGTTCCAGTGTTACTGATTGCCTTCCAGATTATTCAACATGCTAATTAGCTTCCACCTGTGTTAAATTGTACGGATTCAGATGATTTTGGGATCATTAATGCAGCCAGTAACTGTAACAGTGATAATTAATGAAATCATTCGAAATATCAATATAACAGCACCAAAGTGTTCAAAACACTCCAGAACTGATTCGAAATGACCCTGATTTCTCACATTTTAAACAAAAGCCTTAGACTAGTATGTTTGTATTTTCATCAATGATATACATTTCTTTTCCAGATCTATTACTGGTACGGAATATAAAGGGTGATGGAGGAGGTTGTGGTCTCCTTTGGAACCCAGGACAATGTGTTTATGGCCAGTTCCTTTGATCAAGGTGGAAGTCGATGGAAGTACCCAGGTGAAGAATTGGTATGGAACTATTTTATATTAATTCTTAAATTGAACTTTACAATACACTTTTGTACCTTAAGAGTCCACAGTGCCAAGATACAGACAACCCTATCGTTACAGCAGTGGGTTTTTTTAATTTATTTTTTAGATAACTGTATGGGTTGCTTTTGTGGGTGGGGATGGGGGGGGTGTCAGGTGGGTAGGAGGGGCTGTTATCCGCAGATTTTTGATAAGTGTATTTGACTACAAAAATAATAAAAATGTATTAAAAAATAATGTAGTTTAATCCCTAACATGTAGGCTTTTAATGTAATGTATATACCTTACGAAGGGATATAAGGTATATAAATTGCATAAAGGGATGTGTATTGAAATGATTTAATTTCAATTTTTGGTAACTGCTAGTGGTTGGCTTGGTGGTCCCGTGGTTAGCATTGCTGCCTTGCAGAGCTGTGGTCCTGGGTTCCACACTTAGGGTGCTGTCTGTTTGGAGTTTGTATGCTGCCCATGCGGTTATCCTCCGGGTGCTCCCGTTTCTTCCCACAGTCCAAAAACATGCTGTTAATTGAATTGGCTTCTGGGAAAATCGGGCCTGGTGTGTGTCTGTGGGTCTGCTCACTGGCATCCCCTGCAGGGTGTATCCTGCCTTGCGGCCTGCTTGTTGGGATAGGCTCTGGCAGTCCTGCTACTCTGAAATGGAAGAAGTGGTTAGAAAAGGGACGGATGTGTAACTGTTAGCTAGTTGTAATGACCCAGAATACAGTTGTTTTCACTTCCACTGTCCGAGGTGCTGTGTCGAATCTTCGACCAATTCTGCGTGGTTAGCCAACACAGCCCCATGTTTTAAAATGCAAATGTATATATTTTAAGAAAACAAAATTGATTTTTCTTTCCAGGAGCGCAGTTCTAGCCCTTCTGTTTTGAGATCTATTACCTCAAAATGGAAAGAGGGCCTTCTAAACAGAAAGAGACCCTTTGTTGGAAGGTGCTGTCATTCCTGCACTCCTCAGAGTCAGGTAGAAACTCCAGTTTCTCGAAATGCATAATTTTAACATCTTCAAGGTTCAACAGATTTATAGGGTTAAAGAGGAATTGCCAAGGATAATTACAGGGATTAGAAGTTCTAAAAAAGCTAGTTATATCCTCTTTTCAGAATTCCTGTCTTAAGAACTCTGTTTACATGTGGGGATATAATGCTACGCTTATCTGACAGATTTCTTTCTATTTAAAAATCATATACGAATGTGTACATTTAAATCTGCTCTGTAATGGATTATATAGATTCTTACATCATGACTTTCTGTCCCTGATATATAAAAAACTTTGTTACCAACACAGACATTAATCTGGGCCAATTGACTATTAAAGTGAGGCACAGAAATACAACATATTTTTGTCTTGTAGGAAAAGCTCTTCAATTCCAGTATTCCTTCTCTGGGTCTGCGGAATGTCATTTACATTAATGAAACGCACACCAGGTATGTCTTGACTCAGATGGGACATTTTTTTTGCCAGCATGTGGGGATCAGTCACTGACAAGTTAAAGCAGTGTCTTGATTACGCCTATATTTTTCTGTTTGAAAACTCACTTGATTGTTTTCCATGTATGTAGTTTTTCCCACTCAGTGCATTAACTGATTAACCTTTGAAAGATCTAACTGAAAGATTTCTCCATGTCAATAAATATCTCATATGTACACATAGTACATTTATAACTCAAGAAGGTGAGCCTGTTTTGTATACGTATTTTCCAGATTAGTTTTATCCCGTGAAACATTGTTAACTGGAGTTTCGAGCCAGGTGCTGTGTAAGCGGTTGCTAAGTCCTAATGATCTGCCTTCTGCTAGTGCATCCATGTGTTCAAGATGGCAGTATCGATGTGGACTGTGTGCCGCAGTGGGTAGATTGTCATTTTTCCCCATATTGTTTTGCTGTAGGCACAGGGGATGGCTGGCCAGGCGTCTGTGCTACGTTCTGTTTGTCCTGGAGCGTGATGTTCGGAAGGACATGTTTGCTAGGAATGTGGTGGAAAATGTATTGAACAACAGCAGGTAGACACAAGCTATTCGTGCCTGTTTTTTTAGGTCTCGCAAAAAATTCTGACATTAACTTAGTTTTTTAAAAAATTCAGTTTTTTACAGCATGTCTTCAGATTATGAAGTTAAATGTATCACGGTTGATAAGATATTAGCATCACTAGTTCCTCCTACAGTATATACATGAAAAGACAGGCATATTTCAAATTAGTGGGCCACAGAAGCGCACTTAGAATGACTGTAATGCATTATCACGTGCCTACCTATTAATTTTCTTTAAGAGTTTTTTTTTTCTTCATTTCTTATAGAGTGGAGAAGGCTACCATAGAAGTAGCTTCAGAAAACAGCCCAGGTGTGATGGAGTCCAGGATCGACCGCAAAGCTGTCAGCAGAGTGAGGAGAAAAGCCAGAGGAATTCTCCAGGAAATGGTGGCTAATATCTCTCCCTCCTTTATTAGGTACATGTCCACTTTATCATATGTGATCTTTATTTATAGCGTGTCATGTGAAAGCAGTAAGCATCACTGAGGTAGACAGCTTTACATCTAATATTACTAATTATTTTCAAATTCTGCATTGTCTTTTTAGAAACATTTTTGTGAAAAATACCCAAATTTTCAGTAGTAAAAGTAGTATATTTTTTATAATGGCAATAGAATATTCATTTTTGAAGATGCTTCGATTGTATTTTTAAACATATTTTGTAATTTCTTGTTCTGATTGCTATTGTGGAATAGTACCTTGAGGTGCTGGTTGTAATTGAATTTGGCAGTAGAAATATGCCAGATAGAGGCAGTAGTCTTCTTTCTTTGTGAGCCATGTCTTCAAATGGCTTTGGAAGGGTGCCAAATTGTATGCGGAATGCTGCTACTTCCTGTTCTGACAAAAGCCATGCATCGTTTTAAAAAGCGTTGCAGAAAGAAAACGTTTCAAAAGAAGCTTTTGTAAGATAGTGCAAGAAAAAGGCTAACAGCCTTCCGTTTTTTTATTAGGCAAAGCAACTTAAAGATTGATGTAATTTGTTTGCTTTTATAATTGAGCTGCATTGTCAAATTGTATGTTAGTCTTCAGAGTAAAATTGGATCGCTGGAGACTAGCTTTAAAATCTGAAAAGTAGAGGAACAGCATATGCAATAGTGGGTGAGTAAAAAAAAAAAACTGTTTTGTCCCTGAACAGGTTAACTGGCTGGGTGCTGCTGAAATTATTCAATGGCTTCTTCTGGAGCATTCAGGTTCATAAGGGGCAACTTGAGATGGTGAAAAAGGCTGCCACAGAGGTGAGGAATTATGAATCCCTAATGCCCATTGAGCCTTCTATGTACTGTATTTTCTGAAATATTTGAATAAGATTAGATAAGAAAATTCCCCACTTTGTACTGAACTTTCTGAGCCACATTTTGCAACAATATTTGCTTTGAAAGGAAACAAAAGACTATCGGGCAGGGTTCAGCTGTGTATTAGGGGAAAAAAACAGTTAAAAGTTTATAAGATAATTTTGCCACATAATATTTATTTTCTTTGGAAAAATAAAATATTTATTTTGGGAATATTTATTTTCTAGAACAAAATGCAAAAACCTGACCATTGTGAAAGTACTGTAGTTACAGAAGAAAATGTAGAGGATGTAAGAAGTCACAGTGCAGTTTAACAAATGTTTGAAATTAGTTTTAGTTTGTTACATACTGTATAAGACCATTTTCTGGAGAACACCCAAGAGGGCACACAAGATGTATCCCCCAGAGAGCTTTGAACCAACCCAAGCAGTATTTCAGGAATGTTTTAGAGTTTGAGTACAGCTCTGGTTACTTTCTGTTACTAGTGTGAAAGGGTGTTTAGAAATGATCATTACATATGCATTAGTGCCTATAGAAAAAAATATTTCCACGTGGCTCATGGGCTATTTCTGTAAGGTTATTGACACTTTTCAGTTATTCCCGAAATGTCACATACAACAGGTGTCCGTCTCACTCTGCAAAGAATACATTTAGAGTGTGCACAGCTCTGGTCAGGAATGAACCCTTGTCAAGCCAAGTCTTACAAAAAGGTGCATTCATTGTAGATGAACAAAGATAGCTTTAAAAGTAGCAGTGTCATAGAAGTTCTGCTTTGCATGTACTGACAGGCCTGCAGGTTAGTGAATGTTGCTTTAGAGAAATCTGGTTTCTGAAGGATAGCAGGTGGGAAACAGTCTATGGCTGTTCTTTTTTTAAACCATTACCGAGGGATTTGAATCTCAGTGTACAATTACTTTTCAGAAGGTAATTAACCATTCTCGGTAACCTGGTTACAATCTCTTCCACAGCTCTTAGTCTCATAGATTCTCCTGTTCTTTTTAACAAGAAATCCATACCTGAGATCTTGAAGATTTCAAGTTCCCTGCATCTGTCTCCATTCGGCAGAACTGTCGGCATTTTCATGTTGCATCGGAACATTTTTTATAATTGCTCCATGGAGAAAGTTGTTGATTTTGTTGACACAAGTCTTTATTGAATTATTGAGTACACTAATGTCCCTGCCAAAAAGATACGTTGTGTTAGGATGACCTGACTGAGGTGATAGCTCAATGCCCTTTCCATGGTTAAAGATTACACTGTGTCCTTTATTTATTATTATTGCAACATTAGTAGATAGCTGTCAGTTATGGCAAAATTTTGAGGGGGTGTCACTGGTTGTAAGAACACTTGATTTGCTTGAATATATCTCATGATTCCTAGTGTTATAGGATGTTGTGCACAGGGTGCACTTTGTAGAAATTCAGTAGAAATGTGGCCTGGGGTCATTATCCTGACCTGGCTTGAGTGCATTTTAAACACACACCTGCTGTATGTGGCATCTCGGAAATAACCGAAAGACAGGGGTAACACTGTGCCATAAATGAAACTATTTTCTATGATTCCAATATATTAGTAATGGTCATAAACACCCATTCATGGTAATAATAAAGGGTGGCTATGGCAGTACATGGACTATAAAACTCCGTAACAGTGCTGGAATTTGGGGCACTGGGGGGGATACACTTTGTGTGCGTCACCGTCCATGTTCTCTAGAAATGTCCTTTTCATCACAAATTAAAACTCATCTCAATCCTCTGCTGAGACATCTGGTATCCCTACAGTGCATTAATTGTCACAATAGTTTTTTTGCCCCTTAATAACTGGTGAATACCTAATATATTGAAATGTGATTTGTTCTTGTTTTTCAGCAAAATGTTCCGTTAGTGTTCCTGCCAGTTCATAAATCTCATATAGACTATCTGTTGATCACCTTCATCTTGTTCTGTCACAACATTAAAGCTCCACACATTGCTGCTGGAAACAACCTCAATATTCCCATCTTCAGGTTAGTAAACCTGCAAGTATCATTCTCATTCAATGCAACTGGGTATACTGTATCTGGAATCTGGGAACTGAAAACATATCCTTAATTATATATTGTGGTATTCAGTAACGGTTCTTGGTGCAGTAACATCTTTTGTAGGTTTGTGACTGTAATGTGACATAATGTCCATTGCTCCCTTTTTCCTCTGGTGCATTACATCTTTAGAGTCTAAGTTCTTTTCTTAGATAAGCAGGAGTATAACTGTGGAAGCCCCTGTTTCCTGGTTTTTAATGTCACCTCTCCGTCTTGGAGTAAGACGGTTGGTAAAGTAACAGTGGACAGTAGGTCATTATCAGTAGGTTTTTGGGGAATGTGGTGCAGACAAGAACTACTACCTTGTCTCCCTCTGCCACCCTCTTAGACTGTTTTTTTTTTAAATCTTTTTAAATTGGAGTTTCACTCATTGCTGATTTAGGGTAGATTCACGCGTTTCAAAATGGCTTTTGTTTTAAAGAGAATGGGTGTTGATGTTTCTTGTGTGTCTGCAGCACGTTGATACGCAAACTTGGAGGTTTCTTCATTCGTCGCAAGTTGGATGAGAACCCTAGTGGGAAAAAGGATGTTTTGTACAGATCTCTTCTTCATGTGGTGGGTTTAAAATATTTGTTTCTAACTGTACAGATAATGGCAGAAAATTGTCTGGTAAATCAAGCATGATGTTCTTCCTCATGGAGGAGTGTAATGGGGTTCTTGTGTTATCCTTAGCATGATTATGCTTGTGTGCTTTAACAGCATGCTAGTATTATAAGAATGTTAGAAAATCCCAGATGAATACAGTACCTTTTTGTCTAAAGCACAGATTTTGAGACTACGGATGAAACCTAAAATATTTTTTTGTTTCTCTCCTTAACCCTAATATACAGTATCTCTAAAGTTTTAACAAATGAGTCGGCTCCTGTGCTGAACTGTCAGTGTGCTTGAAGGTTATATTCACCTCTGAGTCAGCTTTTGAAAGATTATACATTTAAACTCTAGTGCATTGCTATTGAGGTTAAGATGTGATTGTGCTAGACTAACCAAGAGACATGTCTAGATCAGGCCACTGACCATGTCAAAAGTAGATTAGGTGGCATAATGTTACAGTATGTGGCATCCATGTGTTCACTGCTTTAGTGGTTCTGGAAACAGGCCTTAGTTTTCATAGAATTAACATGAGTCAACTTAATCCAAAATGAAATACTCTTGATCCGGTTTTCGTGTGTTTGGTAGTTTAAATTGAACCCTGAATAAAATGCAAGAAAAGAATGGAAGAAAATGCAAGAAATGTATTAAAAAATAAATTTTAAGAAATAAATCAAATAATAAAAAACGCTGTGTTGGTTCTTTAGTGCTGCAGTTTTAAATCCAATAAATGTCTGCAAATTATAAACCTGTTTTTTCTCCCCATCTTGCTGGGAACTGGCAAAGCTGGGGTTAATCGTGGTCTTTTCACTACCCTTTTCATGCTCAGTACTAATGCAACACAAGCAAAAATCTCTTTAACCCATTGGTTTAATAGAAAGTTTAAGGTCTAATGTGCATTTGTTGATTTTACCTTCTTCTTCATACATTGCTCGTAGTGGCGGAACTGTTTCATTTCTCCCTGTTCTTGGCTGGTCTCATCATGGCCTCATCACGAGTTCTGAAATGAAATTTGTCCTGCTTGTCTGTACTGATTGAATTGAGTGTTGTGTGTGTCTCTCTTCAGTACACTGAGGAGCTACTCAAACAGCACCAGTTTCTGGAGATATACCTGGAAGGCACTCGTTCACGCAGTGGGAAGCCCTCCCCTGCCAGAGCAGGCCTGCTGTCCATCATAGTCGACACCCTGTGCTCCACTTCCATCTCAGATGTGCTTATAGTCCCTGTGGGCATCTCTTACGACCGCATCATCGAGGGCAACTACAACAGTGAACAGCTGGTAGGACAGTTGAAATTGAAGCACACACAGTTTTTATTTTCTATTTTAATGCCAGTGTAATTAAGGAAATTATCCACCTTAGTTCTCAGTTATATTGGGGATGGTTCACACTGTTAAATAGTTACTACTGTACTTTGTAAGTAGAGTACAATGAGCATTAGAATATTGTTTCCGTCTGGAGATATGTGGTGGCTGTACTGTATGTTTCAGATTTTCATTATTGATGCCTAACATTTGCAATTCACTATTGGGTAAACGTAAGTTAAACTAGTTCTTCTTTGCATCTCACCATAAACTGCTGAAATGATTTTGCCCCGTTTAAAAATTATGGCAGCTCACTGTCTCAGCAGTTTCAGCTGCTTTCCAATTTGTGTTCATACCAAAAATCAAATGCTACAGTGAACTGCGAAATTAAAAAAGCTACAGACCCTAGCTAATGGGCCAGCAGTCAGATGGACTTTGAATTGGCGTAACCCCTTTCATATGAAGGACTTCACAGAAATGCCAAAAGATCTGTATTCATCATCCTTATGCATCTCTCATTCCAGGGGAAACCCAAGAAAAATGAAAGCTTGTGGAGTGTAGCGCGAGGGGTGTTCCGAATGCTGCGCAAGAACTATGGCTGTGTCAGAGTGGACTTCACACAGCCTTTTTCTTTGAAGGTGAGGTGTATTGTGACCTGCATTTCCACTCTGTACTTATTTTCCCCATGAACAGCTTCCATCATATGGAGTTATTTAACATTTTATTGGAATCATTGGATTTCATTTGTCATTTAATAAGATTAAACCAAACTCTTTTCCCTTTGTCATAAAGCAAATGCACATTGAATTATTTTAAGAATGTATGCATTATTAGTATGAAGCAGGGGAAAGGACTTTGATAAAATGAAAGATGTGCATTAAAAGATAGTTTGAGAGTTTTTGATCTGGGAAGGTGAAACAGCTTTGTGCTATTTAAGTTGTCTTTAAATGGACAATTTCCGTATTTTCCTAGTTGCATTCCAGTTTAAACAAAATACAGCAGTTTCCCCAATTTGGAAGAAGTGAACTGTTTGCAAAGACATTTTTAAACATCACACAAAATTCTCAGTTTTCCCAATTTCCCTGCAGTACATTATGTTCTGCCAGACATGAATTTAATCACATTGCCCTGAAAGACCTTGCGTATTTATTTCAGGAGTACCTGGATAGTCAAAGACATCGGCAGCTTCCTGCTCCGCTTACACTGGAACAGCTCCTGGTTCCCACAATTATTGCAGCACAGTAAGTTTTGAAAGTCACCCAGAATTATAAATATCAAATAGCAGGATTTAAAAAACAAACAAACTGATAGGTGGCTATTGGAAGGTTTTTTTAAATGTGGCGTCACATGTGTAACCTCTTGCAAGCTCAAGATATTCTTGCTTTTAATTCTGCAAACTCAGAAAGTCTGGTGAGTTGAAGGATAACATGAATATGCTGCTTCCACACAATGCTCATGCTTCAGCATTGAAGTGAAATGTACATTAGTACACCGAGCAGTCTCGAGTTTTGGCCTAACTTTGTTTTGAAGCATGCATGGAGGTGTTTTACTTCCTGCTTTACTCTTTTACTTTATGAACAGTGTAGGGTGAAAGTTGGTAGATGTTCCTTATACCATGTCTGGAGTCTTTGCTTCAAAATGGCACTGTGGGATGTGGTTCAGGCAGTGATTTGATCACTGTCTTATTTTGGGACATTACTATTTTTTATCTTTACAAATCTCCTTTTTCTTCTTACCTCATTTGATATAAGTCTAGTTCTCCTTGTGGTTTAAAATTTGTGTCACGAGTATTATATAGTAAGTATGACTGCTGATCAAATTGAATTTGATTGAAGAGGCTGAAGAGATGCACAAGTGGTGTTTCGCTGTTGCATGCTTTGTGCAATTGTGCTGCGTTTGTTTTATTTGCTGTGAGGTTGTGAGGCTCTGTTTTGGTTTCTCAATGGATTGTCATTTCATAGGCCAGACCAGGCCCTTTTCAATGGTGAGGAGGAAGGTCATCTCAGTTCCTTGGACCTTACAGATGAACCCTGGAGACGTCAAGTGATTGGAAACTTGGCCAAGCATGTGCTCTTCAGTGAGTGAATCTCTTTTGGTCTTCATTTCTATCTCTGATTATCTCTTTTTCTCTTATGACTTTTCTTATAAACATTCTCATTTTAATGTTTCCAGCCGCCAATAAATCGTCAGCTGTGATGTCCACCCACATAGTTGCTTGTTTGCTCTTGTATCGACATAGACAGGTAAGTCATTGTTCTTCTTTTTTTTTTCAATATTATTTTTTGAACATACATGGGCTTTTCTTTGCCTGTGTCATTTAGCAACCAAACCACAATTCTTTGTTTACAACTTTAACCTAATTGTAACTAAAGGTGTTTTGAGTTTCTAGTGCTTTAATGTTCAGTAACGACTGAATACTAGTTAAAACCTGTTGCTGAGCTAGTGTGGTGACATTTTGCCTACTTTAGTTCAGACAGGAAGATTAGATCTTCTACCGCTCTCTTCAGCAAAAGACTGAAAAAAATCAGAGTGAAGCTAAATGCTTCATAAATGGTAGAAAGCCACTCTTCCATACATTATGGTTAAATACAGTAACTATCCAGCTAATAGCTTTCAACTATGCGATGACAAAGACCTCTAATTGCAGCTTCTAACTTCATCAAGAACTTTCTACCGTTTATACTGACAGTTTCCTAAAGTGTATTTTTTTTCGGAATTTCCTGTTAGACAGGAGACTTCTCTTGCAGAGTTAAAATCTGGTGTAAAATGGGGATGGAAATCTGTTTAATTTCTTTTAATAGGCTTTAATATTGAAAAGGTTTGTAACTTATGTTTTAGTTTGCGTTCTGAACTAGCAGCAAAAGAAATCCCAAAATAGATCTAACTGGTATTTCAATTAGCATACAGAAAACTGGGTTCTTCTTTCCTAATGTGATGTTAAGGAAGTAGAATGAATACTGTACTGTACATTGGGAAATTAAACATGAAATTAAATATAATTTATTTTAATTTATTCTATTGTTACAAATGGGTTGTTATGAAACTGGCAAAAATCAGGAATTGACAGAGCGGTAAAGTCAATAAGTAAAATAATTAATTAGAATCCCCAATCTATAAGTGATATCTCTAGAATATAAAAGAGCAGTTGGTGTAATTAAAGGTACGTGAATTCTTTATTCTCTGGCACAGTTTTGGTGAAAAGAGTAATAATCCAGGCACACTTTGTTAAACAAATGTTTATTAGCAAGGACAAGACAAACACTAGGCTAAAGACAACAACACACAAGTTACTCTCTACAGTATTTACAAACAAGCTGTTTCAGAGACCTAACATTCTAATCACCCCCCAAAAAAGTACCTGGGTGGGAGACCTCCTGGGGAAAAAACTAAGGTTGTTGCTGGAAGTGGTGTTAGTGAGGCCAGTAGGGGGTGATCACCAGGGTCTGTGTGATACCCCAGTATTGTGACAGGGACCCTATACTGTAAGAAAAAAAAAGGCGCTGCCCTTCAGATGAGATGTAAAACCGATGTCCTGACTCTCTGTGGTCATTAAAAACTCCAGGGTGTTTCTCAAAAAGAGTAGTGGTGTTACCCTGGCGTCCAAAATTTAAATTGGGCAAAATTTCTCATTGACCTTCACCAATCATGGCCTCCTGATAATCCCTATTTAGAGCTGGCTTCATCAGTCTGTTCTCCTCCACACTGATAGCTGATGTGCAGTAAGCGTTCTGGCGCACTATGGCTGCCATCACATCATCCAGGTGGATACTGCACATTGGTGGTGGTGGAGAGTTCCCATTACCTGTAAAGCTTTTTTTGTGGAGTATCCAGAAAAGTGCTACATGAGTGTAAGGTATTATTAATAATAATAATTAATGCAATACAACCTGCAGTTATATCTCTCTCTTTCTGCAAATCCGGGTGCCACAAAATAAATGCAAGCCTACATTATCTCTATTCTAAAAAACAAAAATGCATCTTAAGCAAGAGAAATGTTTAAAACCAAGATATTTTTTTTATTCAGGAAACCCTAAAAACACAGAATAGCAAGCTCTCTCCAGCAAGGTTCAGATACTTCGCTCCAGTCAGGTTTTGTTTGGATGATGATCATAGAGGCTGTCACCTGGCACAAGCTTCAAGTTCCAGCTCCTCTTGTTGTCTGACCTTCTTTCTCTCCTCTCTCCCTCTTCTTCTTCTTGTCCTTTCCCCTCCTCTGTGGTCTTAATGTGATCTTATGTGATGTGTTTTTTGTATTGCTCATTGCAAACAATTAACCCACAACTTACCTAGATATACCAAGCTAATCTTTACAATTCTTTTTGCTTGAAGGGCTCCCCACATCTCAGCAGACATCCTTTCTGCTTTGAAGCTAGAGGTGCCAGGTGTCACAAACATTAGCGAAACACTCCCTAGTTGCCTAAAGCTGTCACAATATTATGAATTTATTATTGAACATCAAAAATGGTATAACAAGTAACCAACATGTTTTTTTCAGTCATAGTTGTAATTTTGTTCATGAAGTTACAACTAATGCTGTTAATTGATTCAATGTACTGTACAGTACATGGTGGATATGCATTGTATGTATTGGTAAACTGGGATTGCCGTTAGAGATCTATCAATGTATTTTTTAGTCTTATTTGCATGGTGTTAAAGTGTTTATAGTGCCATGTGGTTATACAATCTGATAATATAATTCTACTTGATCCCTTGCATGTACTGTATACTATTAATCCGTTTGGATTGTAATATGTAAAATGGTTTATAAGTGTCACTTTTCTATATCTAGTTCACAAATTCTACCAGATTAAAAGCAAAAAGAAAACCTTTTCAAGAAAAAGTAAGCATCTGTTATAAGCAAGTGTGACATGGCCATTGTGTTCTGCTTCAGGGTGTGTACTTGTCTAAACTAGTGGAAGACTTCTTCTCCATGAAGGAAGAGGTCCTCTCTCGTGATTTTGATCTGGGCTTTTCTGGCAACTCGGAGGATGTCGTCATGCATGCCTTGCATCTTCTTGGAAACTGTGTCAATGTGACCACTTCCAGCCGCAATACGGAGTTCTTCATCTCTCCTGCCACGACCATTCCTGCCTTATTCGAGCTCAACTTCTATAGCAATGGTTTATTTCATGTTTTCATTACGGAAGCCATCATTGGTACGTACAATCCAGGGATATGCCATTACCTTGCATTACAGTGACGAGTCTTGAACCAGCCAGTCTTTTATTGAATATTGCTATGCACAGAGAAAAAAATCTCTTAAGACTTGATATGCCCCCGCCCCCCCCGACAATTGTATTTAATAACACATTCTCCGTAAAGCTAAATCTGCTTTCCGTATTGTAACATTTCTAATCCCTTGTAGTCAAGAACATTTTGAATTGGATTTGCTTGATATATCCCCCCCCACTATTCGGCCCTGAGATATTTAGAAATTAAACTCATTATTCACTTAAGTGATTTAAATTAATTTTTAGCGGTCTGAGGTTCTAGTCTGTCACACTGAATGATCCATCCGTTCCCTAATCACTTTATCGAATTCAGGGTGATGGTGGCCTAGAGCCTATTTTGGCTCACTAAGGGTGCAAGACGGGAAACATTTTGGACGGGGAACAAGTCTATCACAGGGCAGACTCATACCATGGGTCAATTTTCTTAGAAGCCAGATTTCCTACCGGTATTTGGGCTTCTGGAGAAAATTTGGCAAACACGGGGAGAACATACATATACAGTATTCATACAGATAGCATCCCAGCTCTGGAATTGAACCCAGGGTCTCCCTGGTGGGTGCGCTGTACCACAGTGCCACCCATATGAAGGATCGTAGCTAAGAAACACTGGTTTAAGAGATTTTCTGAATGTGTGTAATGAATGATTTGGGTATTAAAAAAAGTGGTCTCTTGTTCATTTGCATGCTACTGGACTGAAAGAGACATGAGCAAGTTCAGTTTATGGGACCAGTTGTACAATATATCGTTAAGGTCCTTCGTCCTTTGGTAGTTGATGATCTCCACAAACCTGCGAACATTTGCATAGATGGTCTTGCTCATCTATGCAAAAGTCACCTATGGTTTGGCTATTTGATATAAAGAAGATATCCTGTGGACCATATTTCAACAGGAGATATGTTCATGATTGTAGAATTCATTCCATAGAACTGGCCTCTCAGTAAGCAAGAGTCATTGATTACCATTGTATTCTGTGTTACTATTCCTCCTCACAGCTTGCAGTGTCTTGGCTATATTGAGGGAGCAGGCTGCAGAGACAGTGCAGAGCACCTCCGAGATGATGGTGAGCCAGGAAAGGCTTATCAGAAAAGCAGCTGGGCTCTCTCATTTCTTAACAAATGAAGTGGCTGTTGCTTTAGTAAGTATAAGGCTTAGTTTTGTCCTGTCTTGTCCACAATCCCCCCTTAACTCCCCCAACAGGCTGATTGAATCAGCATGATATTATTTGTGTTAACTGAGTTTAAACAGGCTGTCTCTGAAGATGTGTAAAACCTGGATGACGTCTGTGGAGAACAGCGATATTATGAATATCTGATAGTTCACATAAGAGCTCCACCAGCTGGAGAAAAAACTAAAACCTGCATAAAGTAAGGGTAGTGGATTGTGATCCAAATTATTTTCATGCCACTCCGTAATCTGTTTTCTGGATTTTTTAATTGGATGATATTTTCAAAACCTTATGCGGTTTGTGGCTGATGTATAAAACTGTAGTAAATCCTAACCAGGCTAACCAGCCCTTGGCAATGCCTCCTCCTCAGTGGACTAGACTGTAGTGAAAATAAAAGTTTTGTGTGGTGGATTTTATTCTGACTGTTGTAAAATAATCCAAGTCTCAACATCTGTCTCACTGTCTGTTGCTCCTTCCTTATGAGGTCAAAAGTTTTATTACCTTGCCTTTTGTGTTCAGAGCAAAAGGCTATTACTCAGAGATCTGGGTTTGTTTTTACAGGTGCACACATTTAGTTACCAAGCAGTCTCCGGGCTGTTTCAGCCTTACCCAGTTTCTGTTTTGTATTGGCATGCTTTGCTGCAGATACAGTACATTGCCAGTGACAGGCAGTATAAAGGCGTCTCAGGGAGCGTGACCCACTCTTCCTTCACCTTCCCTCGTCCAAATAATCCCCTGATTTCAGTCCAACCCACACTGCTGCCCTCATCACAACTTCAATTGAAAGCAATCTTTAAAAATGTAATAGGGTTGGACAGCAAGCGTTTTCAAACATCTTGTATAATTCATGCCGTGCCCTGTTCATGCAGTTCTTTTTGAACTGTAGAAAGCAACTTATTATTCAGTGACTCCTCCTATTATTTTGGGTGGCAAAGTTATTCAGTGCTTATTTTCCAATAATCATTGAGAATTTTTCTTTAAACAGCCTTGCCAGATGGTTTATCAGGTCTTTGATGACACTGTGGGAAGGTTAATCCAGTATGGGATCCTCATAGTTGCTGAGGTAAGATACATGGATGCTTTAGTTGAGAAGATTTCCCAAGATATGCTGTTTCCATATGACATTGATATATTCCCATCAGAAAACGATGGTTAAAAAAACATTGTTTTTGATGTACACCAGGACACATGGATCAATTGTGGGAAAATGTTAATGTTTTGTGTTGTTTTCAATTTGCAGTTTGCATCTTACAGGCACTTCTGCAGTGTATGTATTAAGGTGTTTATTCTTTTTAGTAGCTTGAACTAGTGTTCTAGCCTTTTGCATGCATTGCATCAGGGATGGAGAGGTTGTTGAGAAGATGATTTGTGAATTTTTACTAGTTTTGAGTTACCCCTAGTCCTAGGGACTGGTTTAAGTCGCAAATTATGTATGGCTTTGTCTTAAGTATCTCCCCCATCACTGTCCTTTCAGAATCTTTGGTTAAAATGGGTTATTAAATTGAATACAGTGAAATGATTTAAAAGCAGCAAACCTTTAAAATGTGGTGATCTATCCATTATAATAAGAAATTTGGAGTCTTAGCCAACCCTTCCATCACAAAAAAAAATGTTATAGGATATTATATGCATAGGCATAAGTAATTATAATATAACATTTTATAGTCTATTCTACAGACGTTCAAATGAAAACAAATAGCAGCTATGCTACATGCTTAAATAGCGGAATACTATCAAGTATGGTTCAGATATTTTCTTTATCAATAGGTACTTTGTGCTACTGTACATTTGTGAAAGGACTACAATGGTATTACTGCATGTCAACTGCATGAATCATTTGGTTACCTACTATATGCCAACCAATCCTTAAATGCAAAGGTGTGCCAATGTTTATTTTTAGTAGCTGAGCTGAACATAAGCGAAGCCATTGGTTTATGGTATATATTTAGTGTCTGTGTGCTTACATAAATACTAAATATTTGAGAATACTTTAAATGGTACGGTTCCTCCTGTGATATAATACTTTTGAGTAGATATTATTTATGGTCATGCAAATTAATGAGACTTTTTAGCACATTTTTCTGTATTACATCTAGCAATACATTCCAAAGCCTTTCCTTGATACTGTACTGTACATAGTGCTTTGTATGGAGTTAACAGAACAAAATTGTCTTCTAATTCATTGATATTCTATCCATAATCTCTATACATGTATTTCCTAAAACTTTGGTTTCATGGAAAGGTGACTAGAGCATGTCAGTTCTACAAAACGCTTAAACTACAGTATACATGCTCAGTGAGCTGATGCATTTAGATGTCAGCTTACAGTTTATGCTTAGAGTAAGCAAACTGGTGTCCTTTACCAGTTCTTTGTTTGAATTGTGGAGGATGTTGCTCAGTTTTACCTAAAAATACTGCATGTGTGCAAAGGTCACTTGTTATAGTATTCCAGATATTGCACAAAAAGGTTTTGCATTTAATTTTGCACATTTGCAACGCGGACTATGAGCTCAAAGACAAATTGCCTGACGTTTTAGCCGATCATATACTGTAAAGACATATCGCCTGTCTCTCCTCTGATAAAGCTGTGGGCTTGCACTGAAAGCATTCCTACGCCGACCTGCTTGTTCTTCTTTTGGCTCATGTGATTTGATGTGCCTGTTGTCTTTACAGGAAGAGCAGGAGGAGCTGAGCCCCAGTCCTACCGAGGAGCCCTGGCCGAAAAAGTTCCCGGAGCCCCTGTCCTGGAGAAGCGATGAGGAGGATGAGGACAGTGACTTTGGGGAGGAGCAGAGGGATCGATACCTGAAGGTATCCACCATGCTTCCAGGATCTGGCTCCTTCTTTCCAGTTAAAAAGACAATGTTGGGAATTTGAAGGAAAAACATTTAAGAATTGGGGATTGCTAAACCGCTTCCTTTGCAGGGGATTTTGACGCCTTAATCTTTCAGTGAATAAGACTTGATTTCCCTTCAGATTGTGCTGGATCACCTCTGAAGTGGTCTTGGCCATGGGGTCTCCACCTTCATGACTGATGAATTTTAGTATAGTGTTTAGTACAATGTTTCGAAGAAAGCAGTTGTTACCGTTTCTGCAATGAAGAATGCGTTTGTATCCCACTATCCAAAACGCTAACGACAAGACTCTCTAAATGTTGTAGGTGAGCTTGTCTCCAGAACACCAGGAATTCTTCGGTTTCCTGCAGAGGATTTTGGGCCCTGTCCTCGAAGCCTACAGTGCGGCAGCCATCTTTTTGCACAGTTTGAACGGTCCGGTTACAGAAAGGGAATACACTAACCAGCTATTCCGATTCCTTCTGACAAGGAGTGAGAAAAAGGTGGCAGTATTTGGTGAGTCATTCTGAAGAAAAAAAAAAGGTTAACGATGTTTCCACCTTTTTAGTCTGTGCTTTGGGGGAGGGGTTGAATGTTGAATTTGTATCAAAATTGTACTTCTGTTAATAAGTAGGGTTTCCTTCATTGAAGAAATATTTTTTAAATAAGTATTTGAAATTTGTTACAGTCCATTAATCTGTTAAATGAGTGATAGGTTTGTTTGAGGAAAAAATATGATGTGGGCAACTTAGGATAATGATCTCAAAACAAGGGCTCTACATAAGATTGTCCATGTAAGACAAAATAATTTATCCTGATTTCTTTTACTTTTAGCATGCAAAGGTTATTTATTGTAAGATCTAGAAATAAAAATGTATCTTTTAACTGTGTTTTTTATGTTTGTAGAGAAATTATCAAAATTTGATTCAGTTTTGCTTTTAAAAATGCTGTTTCTTTTGATGAAAGCATTTGGAGGCAGTACAAAGACACAGAATGAATGTGTTTACATGGGGAAAGAAAATTAATGTGGATATCTCCCGTTTCACTTAAGAAAATGATAGACCCAGGTTACTAAAGCTCTTGTAATTATGTAAGTCTTCTAGATTTGTAGGCCCCTTAAGTCTACAACTGAGGATTTCTCGAAGTATTTAAATAATTAATTGAGTAATTAAGTCTAAAACTGGATCATTAAATTAATTAGAGTGCTCAAAACTTACATCATTCCCCCGGACCAAGACTGGGAACCTCTGGCTCAGAGAGTACATGAATCTTGAACAGCCTTGACTCTTATGTTTAACTAACCTGACGGCAATCTTCTGAAATGTTTTGTTGCAATTACTTTTCCATTTATTGTAGGAGAAAGTGCCACACACTACCTTGTGAAGAATACAGTGAAAACGTTTAAAGAACTGGGGGTAGGTGTTTTGTAAGAAAGCATTAGTCTGTGAACTTGTATACTTTTGCTTCTTTTGAACAAGACCTTAAATTTATTGTGCATGTTCTAAGATGTAGTATATTGAAAATAACCTACTGTATATTCATGGTTATCCTTCTGAATACCTTATTCTACTGCAATGTGCAGAAATTATTAATTGAAAGCAGATTTTCAGTATCAAGAATACATGCTTTAGATTATTGACTGGTGAAAGTGCCATTTTGAAACCATTGTTATGTTATAGTTTTGGATCTTAACTTAGATCTTTTAGTGCATAAAACTATAGAATGATATAGAAACTCATGCAAATTGCTGTATGCGATTCAAGAAAGGGGAATACTACCTCTTGTGTGGTAGTGTACAGTATATACTGTATCACGTGTTGTGTTTCATACACAATCTATAGTGAAATCTTACATTTTATGTGTCTTCTACCTGTTTAATCTGCATATTGGAATTCTTAAACCATTGTGAGCACATATTGACATGTATTATAATTTTTATAATTATAATTTTACTCAACTCTGCTGCTGCCAGGATGTGAACAATTTTTGTGAGGTGAAAGTAGTTGAAAGTACTGTAATCCGTTTCTGTATACGACTGCCGCATATCCGCTGGCCTGTGTATACCCACGGTTTAAGAATCTTTGTATTCTTGAGCAAATTAAAATTAGTACTTGCTTTTTTTTTCCTGTTAAGACCCAGCTCCAGTGCATTTGTACAGTAGTATAATAATGTATTGATAATGTTTCAAAAGTATAGGCCAATCTCAACCAAGCATCTCTCTAAAGAGGATTTTAAGCATACAGTACTTCTGTTATCTACATTTTTGTATATCTTGCCCTGGTATTGTTCTCACCATAGTGGATTATGCCATGGTTAACTGTACTATAAAATGCTGGAAATGAAAAAGAAATGTAGAAAACATTTTTTTCTTCACTGTTTGCAGGTCTTCAAAGAAAGAAGTGAAAACAGGGTGACAGTCCTGGAACTTAGCAGTACTTTTCTACCTCAAGCTAACCGTAACAAGCTGCTTCAGTTCATCCTCTCTTTCAGCTTAATATAACCTGCATTTTAAAATATTCACCTTGGGGAAAATTCTCAGTTAGTCAGTGTGCAAAAGGGCTTTTACTGGATAGTAAAAAGGTGCTAATTTATGGCATAGCTTTACCTGGAAGTGCCTTCATAAAGTACTAACAAATAGGAGAGTCATCTTTCTTTTGTAATGAATTGCTGAAATATTAATGTGCAGCTAGTCTAATTGTTAAACACATTAGCACTGATGCATCAGCACAGCCTGTGATTTGTATTCTTGAGTGTTTGCTTTCAGTTTGTATCCTTTCACTTCCAAAATACAGACGTAGTACTCATCTCTGGCTAGGAGATGAATGTCATTGACGGAACAAAAACCGTACAAGTTGCCTTCATTGTGAAAGGTTGAATAGACACTACAGAAAGAAAAGGAAAGAAAATGTTAATAATGATATTTATTCAAGAACCCTACATTGCATGTAATAGGAAACAAGCATTTAAAGGATTTTAAAAAGCAGTGAAAATATTAATGCAAGAAATAAAAAGGTGCTTCATTTAGTGTTATTCCTGAATGCAGTTGGGGTTCTATATTTGGTCAAAGTAAAAAAATGTTAATGGGATTGTATATTGCTCAGCTCCCTGGTGAAGCTGTCGTGGCATCTTAGTTTTAGGGCATAGATTCTAATACTTTGCATACCCTGAAAGCCAAACATTCTTCCAAGGTGTGGGTTCTGGGTTTCATGGTGTTTAGCTGAAACCAGTATTCTAATGGACGTCATACTGTAAATGTGCTTTTTGGAGGTTGAATACTCTTTAACTAAAAGGACTGGCACTGACTATATTGATTTTTACACCTTCTGTGGATATCCTGGACATTTGTAGTGAATGAATAGTCGTTCTCTTGGTGATGTCTGTTTTCTCTTGGAGGTGATTTATTCCATTTTTTTTGCTGTAGAATGGCATGTGTTGAAAGGGGGCATTTTAGTTAACACCACTACCATGAAAACATTAATAGTAGCTTTTGAAGGTTTGTTAAAGGCACATACAGTATTTGACAGCAGGTCAGTAAGTTCGTTGAACAGTGCACTTAAAATGGTTCTAGCCATGATTTCTCTGTACCTCTTGCCAGTACAATCCTGATAGTGTGCAACAAATCATAGTGCAAGTTGAACTTGTGACATCACTTTTCCAGGCCTCCCTACAGCCTTTAAGTCGGTTTCAGTGGACAGCTTTTTGGCATGGCAGTTTTTCATCCGATGCTTGTGTAACTTGGGAAGCTAGTGCACAGAGGCACAGAAATAAACTTCACATTTATTCCAAGACCCACTGGAATCTCTGATACTGTTGACTCGTTGGGTCCTCTGATACTGTTGACCCATTGGGACCTCAGATACTGTTGAACTACATTGTGGTTATGTCGAAGTTCGTAGGGGGAGTTTAGAGAGCTAGTGTCTCTGTGTTATTGGAGACCATTGTGATGATGTCACTCACCAGTACTCCTAGCCCTCTACTGCAAGGGGCCTGGTCTTTTGTGATTGAGGGCTTGGATGCTGATGGTGCAAGCTGTGCACATGAAGCTGCTCAAGAGAGTGGATCATGTCCTGGTCAGGACCACGCATATCATGCATATACTCTTGTAGGCCCATCTTTCTTTTAAACTGTGAATAAAATTGATCTATTTTGGTGGCTCCACAGGCCATCAACAGGACATCCAGACCTCAGGTCATCTTGAAATGGCTTGAAGTCATGCTTTAACATAGGTGATCATTTTGTTTTAATCATTTCAAGAATTATGAGGGTCTGTTACCATATGCACCACTGCTGTTTTGTCAAGGAAGATAGAAGACTGTCAAACACTGGACAACATCTTAATTTTAGTGAGATTCATACTTTGAGTGAAGAAGTTTAGGTCTAGCCAGCCGATACCCTAAAGCCAAGAATTTAAGTAGAGTTGTTTTAGTGTAAAGTAGTGGCGGAATAAGCTTTAAAGTGAACCAAATTGCTGTGATGAATCTGAATTCCTTTTTCTCTTTATTTTCATTTTCAACCCCATAAATTCTGCAGTGTGGCTTAAAGCAAATGCAGACATACTGTAGAAAGTTATGTTATGTGGTTATCAGAACGTTTATTAAGGAGTACTTCTTTTTTCTGACTAAAGCAGACCAAGGTGAGTTCTCGGTTTTGCAAAACAAGCTGATATCCTTTGTACGGTAATTTCTTCCCTTTACAAAATTAAATTTAATTTGCCGTTGAGAAATAATTTCACAATAAACTTCCATTTGTGTTGAGACTGTGGGAGGAAACCATTATGAAAATGGGGAGAGCTGGCAAACTCCATGCAGACAGCACCCCAAGAATTGAGCCCAGGGACCCAGCAGTGCGAGGCAGCAATGTTAACTACTGCACCACCTTGCTGCCCCCTAATGTAATCATATAATTGTATGATATTAACGATTGCGTAATATAACTGTATATATTCTCTGATACGGGTTGCGCTGTTTTGATTAAGAGGAATGTAAAAGAAGGAATAATAAGAAAGGGGAGTGTTTTAAAAGATTATGAAAGATCTCCAAATTGCATTTTCTATTCAAACTGTTTTGGGAGCTGTCCATATACAGTAATATGTCTTTACTCCATTTCCACAGAGCTCTGCTTTTCCTGTTTTCAATGTGTAGTTTCAAATACGATCTGGATGTGTAAGGGGGAAATCAGGACATTTCCTTTTAACAATTTAAGTTGCAGTTCTTAACGAGTAAACACAAGTAACTGGAGAGAAGTTACAGCAAACTGTGAAAGCAAGGAGGGCATTGTTTAGTTTTGAGGAACATTTCCATCTTCCTTAGTGTATTGATTCTCTAGTCCTTTTAGTGTTTGCATTAATAATTTTCTGCTGTATTTTGGTAGTCGTGTACCTTATACCAGCTTTCGAGCATGCTGCACACACTAATGAAGTGATATACAGCAGGAATAATCTAACTAGGCCAGCAAAGCTGAAATTCTCCCACTTTGAGCAGCTACCTAAGCCACTGTGCTCTAACCTTATTGGTCTGCGGTGGAAATAGATGCTTTTTTATTAGAACATGCATTATTGAGCCATTTTGAACTAAAGCCATATAACAAATAACTGTGAGAACCTGAGGATGTGTGGCTTGTGAATTATATAACATCGCAGGCAACAATTTTATTTGTAATATGCATGCATCTACTGCTGTTGAATGTTTTGTCTGAAGGGTATAGGCTTGGACACCACTGTAGTTTTAATTCACCTTAGGTGTGTGATTAAAAGATACTTGAAAGTTACTGAGAAACAGCATTTTTCAATTTGAATGAATTATGTGGTTACCAGTTGAGTACAAATTCAATTACTGTGCTCACAGAACATACTGTATACAAATCCCTGCCAGCTTAAAATGAACTCCCCCCAGATGTGGTGGGATTCTTTCATTTTCTGTGATATAACATTTTCACCTGCTGCATGAACATCCTGTTTCTTGTTTTTCATGGCACTCAGGGTCCATGCTCTCAGAGACTGCTGCATTTTGTTGCCCTTGTGTCACAATATGGTACAATATTTAATATCTCTATGATAAGACTGCTCATATCATTAATTTTAACATGGCAGGTTGAATGTGGCCTCTTTTTCCCAATATTCTATATATATAATGTTTGCATGATATAAATAATCCTTCCTGTACACTTGACCACCAATTTTCAGTCATTCTGCTCAAAGTTGAGCAACTTTGAAATACATTATTGAGTACTGTAAGTTACCTAAGATGTTGTACAACAAAGTATCTGGCAAAGCCTGGAAGACTGAAATGAGTTTTTTAATATGCTTTCAGAAATGACTGTAATTGAAATGAAATTAATACTGCAGACAGCTCACAAGTTAAATGTGTTTCAGGGCTTAAAGTGCAAGGATGGTAGGTACACTGCTAGTTCTTTATTTTAAATGGTTCTCACTGGGGAATGATAGCCTGGTATTAATGATGACATAGCCAGATCCCCTGTCTGGGGAGAGCCAAGGGGAAAGCAAACAGAAGAAAGAATGATAAAGACCTGCATTTCATTGGAGAAATGTTGGATCTGTGGCATGAATTGATGCTTGCCTCTCCTGAACTTAAAAACCTGGAAATGTACCAAATCTGAATTCAGATGGAAGATCAAATGCTTTGCAGTGCAGCAACATCTAGATCTTTCACCCAGAGTCAAGAAAAAAATATTAAAAACTGTTTAAAGCTGCAGACATAAATATCAGGCTTTTGTAAAGCTGTAGAAAATATTAACACATATTAAATTCATTAGACTGCTGAAAATCGTAACAGTTGCTAGTTCCATAAGTTTTGTTAATTTGTAAATGGTATTAATTTTAATAAAATTGTGAGTATCTTTGTTGGACATTTAGTGTTATCAGCATGTGTTAACCACTTTTTTTGCACTCAAACTTTGGAATGTCTCTATTTTTTATCCTAGCCGTTTAGTAGTAACAGCTGTCACTCAGCTTGACTCGCTGCTAAGCCTGCGGTGCCAAACTGGAGAGAGTAGGACTACAGTATGTATGCTTTCCTCTGAAATGCAGTGTCAGATCATCCAGCATTTTTCACACTGCAAGTCCCACAGTGCCTGCAGGAAACTTAGCATTTATTTGATTGAGCAATGCAGCTCCCACTTGTTATATCGCAAGCTCACAGGTGACCCAGGGGTGTCACTATTACACTGCAAGCCAAGAGCAATCACTCTGCCCAGTCCTGGTCCTGGAGGTCTTGAGTGTACATATGCTGGTTTGTCTGATGCAGCGCTATGTGTTGAGCGACATGAAAGCCTGCTTAAATGTATTGTGCAGGTTGAAACTTAGTAAGGAAGTCCATGAGACAATATTGGTTTTGACTTGGTATACTGGCTGGCTGAGTCTCATGCAAATAAAGGTCTAATGAATCTGTCAGCTTGCTAACTTTGATTGTGCTTGGGGTTACATTGTTTAACACAATATTAAATCTTTTTTTTTATATATTGTGTTAACACTATAAGCAAAGTCCCATTTTCAAAATACTGGCATTTCCACTGATCGCTTATGCGGGTGAATGTAACACCACTGTAATATAAATTATCTGTATTAAATATTAACAAGGACCTTATTTCCAGTGCACACTCAGTAATAGTGGTATGGCATTGCTTCTTCCTCAATTTGGCTTTATGCACTGGGAAACCAGACTGTACAGCAATAAACTCTGCCTGCCCTTCTGTGAACATTTAGTGCGCAAAACACTTCTTCTGTCTCTCCCCAAAGGTAAATCAATTGAAATATGAAATTGTGCTATATATACTGTATTAGTCTTTTTGATATTTGTAAATGAACTTGTCCAGAACTCAGCAACATTGTGAATGGATACCGCTTCATTGAGAGAGGGGTGTACATTCCCTTGAAAGTTTGCTGACTGCTGAAAGCAGTGCTGTGCTCTCGTTTACTTAGGTTAGTTCTGAATAGAAACTCAGTCGCAGTAAATGAATTAAAGAACTTCAGGACAGTACCAATAAAAGCACTTATAAAGAATAAAGCTCCTCTATAACCTCTGAACAGGATGCCTTTACATCACCAACAGTATTTAAAATGTTAAAATGCATGCTTGCAAATATTACCAATGTAACATAACCTTTGCAAAAATGAATTCTATTTGATTAACACAACTATAGCATATTCATGTTATTTTTTGATCTAATGGTTTTTAACAGCATGTCTAAGAGTGTAGTGATTTGTGCCATTGTTTACATACTTTGTTCTATTTTTTTTTTTTTTTGCTTTTTGCTTGTTATTTTTATTTTAAGGCCCGTTTTTTTTTCGTTTTTTTTTTAAATAAAATAATAGATTAACAATAAAATGGTTCATGTTAATGTTGTGGTGAGGTTTGGTGTGGAAATCTGAAAAAGTTAGATTAGGCTTTAATGTTTTAATGGTTCTGGCTATACCTTTATACAGAGACACTGACTGCCATTCACATTATTTACAGGGGAACTGCAGTTCCAATTACACAAGATGGCACTGTGCTTCTCTGGTTATGTCATCTGTTTTGTGATGTAAAAATGAGTTATGGTGAACATTTGAGCTTTTATTGTGGTTTGAAATGCACTCATCAGTTCTGATTCTTTCTTAACCTGAAATATAAAAATAATGTTGCAGTTCCCCTTTAAGTCAACAAATAGTGGCTTTGACCACAATACAGTTCAGGTGTGCACTGTTAATTAAATATTAGTGTTTTTTAAAGCTAAAAACTTCAAAATTAAATTGCAATAGAATCTATCAAAGTACTACCATTGTAGTTGTGATACTCCAGTATTAGTTACCATGTCTACTCTTAGTATAAGTTTCTGGAACAAGTATCAAATTTGTGGCTACTGGCCTCAGATGAAGCACCCGCAAAAAAAAAAAAGAAAAAGAAAAAGGTTCCTCTGAAGATGCACGAAGGAAGTAGTTTCTGGTAAGAGAAAATCTTTAAATACTTTGTTGTTAAGAAAAATGAGTTCTTGTTTTCTTGAGGTCTTGTTTTTAATGATGCCCGGAACGGTAAGTAAAAGTTTTTATGTAGTATGGTACTTGGTTTTTTTAAGGATGGGACCTTGAAAACTACACAAAACCGATTGCAAAGTCTGATGGTGTTACACCAAAAAATGTTAAAACTTACTTTGAAAATGTGTTCTAAATAAATCTTAAAAATCGTCAGGCTAGGAAACCTAGAGCTGTAATTATATTGGAAAGAACAGGTACAAAATCAATAGAGTATCTTTGAATTGTTCCATTAGCCATTAGTAATAACTGTAAAATTACATAATGAAAAACACTTACAGGGAACACCATAAACATTTCCAAAATACAGACGCACGATCCCCAGACAGTAACACTTATTTTCACAAAGGTTAATTTCATGCTCTGCTGATGTACACTTGCAGATACAAGAGCAACATTATGTGTTCTATGTAAAGTCTTCATTGCTTCAATTTCACACTTCACGATGGCATATTGCAGTTTTAAGTCTGCATGTCTATTTGCATTTTTACATTATTAGCTTTAGCTTGGGTGTTATCTAACTGAAGGTAAAAGTATTTTTTTAATAAAGAGTTATTGAATAAAACCTGACTAAATAAAATAAAGCCTTTAATTATGAACAGTCAGCTTCGGTGGAAAAGAGCAATGTAAGTGGGGAGCAGCATTAGCATCGCAAGTTAATGTGCAAATTCCACATGGAATTAACTTTTACTTGTGTCTCCATAAGATACAATATTTTGCATTGTTAAATGGATTCAGTGATGCTTTAAATGTAATTCAATTATGCAAATATTGTGAATCTACATCTTTTATGCGAAATGAAGCCTTAGAGAGCTGAAGTTGAATTCATTCTAAATTCTGAGGTATAGTATGCTATTGAAATTTAATTGGGAGGAGTCTTTTGTGTTGGACACTTTTCCTGTAAAAGTGAAATGACTCCTCGGGCTGAAAAGTGGGTTTTTTTTGTTCATATCTAGTGAAATCAGCGAATGGACATTCTGCTGGAAGATCGTTGTAGATTTTGGGTTACCTGTTGACCTTAGTTGACCTTTGTAGAGCTTTCTTGTTTTTACTCTTAACGCCTCAACAGTTTTTAAGTTTTATTCCCATGATGTTTGATTGGCCTGCAAAGTTCACACCAAACAGTGGTTTAGGTCAAGTGTACTGATGTCATGGTGGTTCACCAACAAACCTTTCCAAGTTTAAACTTTGTACAGTGCCTTTGTAAAAACAGAGGATTATTGGCATTCAGTCCTTGTATTGACAAAGAAAAATTCAAACTCATAAATTCTGGAAATGTATTTGCATATTTTGTTCTGTAGGTGGCAGTGATAGTCTGTTCTTCATATTGCAGGTTCCTAGGTTGCGTGTACAGATTCACTTCAGTGCTGTTTTGATCGGACTAGGGCTTTTAATTAATTAGACGTGAGTGTAGGTTAGGGGTATTTCTAAATCTTTTTCTTGGTGGTTGACGCAAGCCTTGTATTGGCGCTGTTGTTTTTCTAATTGTATGTGATGATAGTTTATTAAGGAGAATTAATTAAAACTAAGGCCTACTTAACATGATGTGGTAGAATTCAAACGAGGAGCAAAAGAATGAAGTTTAAATTGGTGCTCTTGGGCAAATCTGATATACTGAAGGGAATAAACAGTGTAGGTACTTCTCATTAATTCTGGTGCTTTTGTCACATCCTCCTTGGCAGCATTTCCACTCATTCTGCACGTGCCTAGAGTTATTGAAATTTCTGTAGCTTTGATGCACGGCAATGGAACAGTTAGGCTTAAGCCCAAACTTGCAGAATTCATACTTACGGCTAAAAATGTAATTGGGGGAAAAAAAAACATATTTTGAGACATGAATTCAAGTGTAATGTTGCAATTGTGGTTGGTAGCTGCATTGTACACATCCCGACATCCTTTGATTTCTGCGACTGATTAATTGTGAAATCAGCAAAGGAAGGAGGAAAGTATTGGTTAGCATTTGTCTGCGTTCAGGATAACAAAAGCATTCTTCTTGGGACTAAAAGAAACTGCATTCCTTTTAAAGTTTAAACACAGATATTTAGTTAACGAGACTTCATTGTTTAAATTGAATCAATGTTATCACTGGGATTATAAATAGTGCATGAGACAAAGGGGATCCAATGAGATTTCAGATAACAGATGAAGATACTGTAGTTTTAAAGCCTTTATGATTTGAGTAATAGTGACATGAAGATTGTTTATAATAAGTCCTTCCTCCCCTCATTTTTTTAAATAACTTGATCTTTTAAGGAGATTTTCTTTCATTAGTTTGCTTGTACTGTACCCTCTTTCATATCTTTCCTTGGTTTAAAGTACCATGCTCAGAAACAGGGAAAAAAAGCTGCTGTTTTTACATTGTAGATTTAAAATTGTGAAAGAACAAACACAATAAGCTACAAAAGATAGCTCAGAAAAGACACATTAATTAACAGCACCTACCCCACAGTGGCTGACTGCTCCTACATTTAAAGGTAATTTTAAAAGCCTGACAAAACATCTAGCTGCAATCTAATCTCTGCTTTAGAGAGTGATTTGAGTACAGCTCACAAAGTGCAACGAAAGGATATATTGTTTCTTTTATTTGTTTTGTCTCAAATTTATACTTAAATCTCAGACTTCAGGTATGTTTGTGGAATCATTATTGATAGAGTAAAAAGCAGAATATTTCATAGATTTGTTTTGGGTGGCTAAAATGTTAAGCCATAAGCATACCTAAGTAAACAAATTATCACAAGAGCACATTTCATTTTCTGACAGCTTTCTCCATATTGTATCTTGATTTACCAACTGATGAGATTTTGACTAAAGTCTCTTAATTGAGTTCAGGAGTTCAGACTTCATATTAGCATTCTTTAGCATGAACCTTTTAGATTGATGGGTGACACCCTGGCTAAGAAATGTTCTGAACCTTCCATGAGGAGCAATCCCAGGAGGACTTATACGGAGTATGGAAGGCTGGGAAGGAAGTATTAATATCTTGAATTTGTAAAGGTGCAGGATGGTATGGGTAAAGTTGTGTTGGGTCTGTCTTCTTTCCTGAAATATAATTTCTAAACACCATTTACTAGCTCATACTATACAGTATATGACTGAGTTACTGTCAGTAATATGTTTCACCTTCAGTCTGCATTTTTTACTTAAAGTCATGATTGATTCAGTTTTGTTTCACCTTCATTGCATATATTTTTTTAATCTTTCTGCAGTGTGCTTCTCAAATCTATTTGCTTTAATGCAGACGTGATGTTTAATACATCACAAAAGCTCCTTGCATTAAGCTTGTTTGGGTTTCAGTATTGTTCATGACCAAACTTCCCAGGTGTTTCTGCGTGATGGTGAGGAGTTTCGGCTGTACAAGAATCTTTCAACAAAGCAGTGCTGCTTTTAGAAAGCAAAAACACATAATTACAAGTGCATGTACTGTAAGTGTACATATGATGAGAGCTCTTTTAGATAATACCGTCTTTGAACTGCTTACAAATTCAGGGCCTTGTCACATCAAAAGTGAAATAATCTGAGATACTTCTAATGTAACAAAAGAAAGTAGACCCAGATTTGTATATCTGTTAGCCTGGCCTTGAGTACCACTGAGGTCCTTATCATCGTAACGCAATTTGCTTTCATATACTGTACAAAAAGGTGCAGAAGTTCTTGGAGAGAGGGGCTTGTACAGTCATGGGGTGTCTATCTTAGCCTGGCAGGGAGCATTACTGTCCACACAAGAAGCAAATTAAGAACACTGTCTCTACTGTATAGACATGCCTTCTTGTACAATAGGGTAGGTGCAAATATGCAATATGATGCAATACTTAAATAATGTTATTAATACATGTTGTGGTGTAAATTAGTATTGATTTCCAGCTCTGGAATGGGGCTTGACTCGACACCTTGTGTAAAATGTAATGTGGCATTATGTATATATGTCCAGCACAACAAAATCTGTGCATAATTATTTTATGCTGTACATAACTTGATCCTTTCACGTTTTCATTCATGGTGTGAGGTGCCTGTGGTAATGTAGTATTACTTGAAATACAGTATGATGTTTGAATTGTGGGGCAGCTAAAGCACTGGGACTGCTAAAAGAGAGGATTGAGATTCAAAAGAAGGTAGCTCTTTGTGATCTAACTGCTCATGTTGCCTTGCAGCAATTTTCTTCCATGATTTAGATGAATTATATATGATTTCCCCAGGAGAGCTGGTGCCCTTTTGTTAGCCAACCTGCTAACTGTGGAGTTA